ATCAAATTTCTTTTATTTTTCAATTCAATCATGTCATATTTAAAATTTATGGATCCATATTATGTTTTTTTTCTTTGTTTAGTGTACTTTTTAGAAGATTATGACTTTTGAGTTGGTGCTGGAGTTTATATTTGTAGACTTATGTGAGTTACTCCTTTGTGTCTATTTTCTTTCCAGTTCTTGCTGCAGTTTCAGGTGTTAAAGTTAAAATCAGTGAACTCCATGATAGTAAGTCCAGCAAGCTTCTTATATTACCATATGTCACAGTCATATATCATCGATTCATTGATCTATAAAATTTCAGGTGATTTTTCTTGCAGATTATGTTATTATAGTCTCATGTGCCATTTTGGTGGGACTATTCTCCATTCAGCATCATGGCACAAATAGAGTTGCTTTCTTGTTTACTCCAGTTGTAGCAACATGGCTTTTGTGTATCAGTGGTATTGGTATATACAACATACTCCACTAGAACCCAAAAATATACTGTGCACTCTCTCCAATCTACATGTTGAAGTTCATCAAAACAACTGGCATTGAAGGATGGCTGTCATTAGGTGGAGTGGTGCTTTCAATCACAGGTACTTGTATACGGCTAAGACATAATATTATTAGCCAGTTTGAATTCTGGAAATAATTTTTCTCAATGCTAACTTAGGTCATTTTTCTGCTCTCCCAATAAAGGTAACTTGACAGTGTACTTTACTAACTCGATGCCAGCATGTCGATCTACCGTGCTAAATAACCAAAATGAGTTATGCTTTAACAGTAGTATTTTAATTCCAGATAGCTTTCATGTCTCTAGTATATCCCTGCCTCATTCTGGCGTATATGGGTGAGGCTGCATTCCTCTCTAAGCATCATGAGGACATTCAAAGAAGTTTCTACAAAGCCATACCAGGCAAGGTTTCTTTTCGTAACATTATTTTTGACCCCTCTGGCGTAACTAACTGTGTCACTATTTTTTTTTTCTGCAGAAACTGTGTTTTGGCCAGTGTTCATAGTGGCCACTTTTGCAGTCATTTTAAGAAGTCAAGCAGTAATTTCTGCTACCTTTTCCATCATAAGCCAATGTTGTGCATTAAATTGTTTTCCTTCAGTAAAGATTATTCATACTTCAACCAGGATATATGGGCAGATATACATCCCAGAAGTCAATTGGTTATTAATGTGCTTTTGTTAAGTTATCACAATTGGCCTAAGGGACACTAACATGATAGGTCATGCATATGGTACAACTTTTTTCCACTATGATTATGATGTTTGAAAATTTGACGAGTAAATATAACTATTTTGTTGGATCTGTAGGGCTAGCTGTCACCACTGTTATGTTTGTGACAACATGCTTGATGACACTAGTAATTGTGATTGTCCGGAAGCAAGGAATAATAAAAGCCATTACATGCTTTCTATTGTTTGGATCAATTGAACTTCTTTACATCTCAGCTTGTATCTGCAAGGTCCCTGAAGGAGGGTGGATCTCACTATGGAACGATGAAGAAACACCAATTTGATGTGGAAAACAAGGTTTCAATAAACAAAATACTATCTATGGGACCTTTCTTGGGTATGGTTCGTGTCCCCGGAGTAGGGCTCATGTACACTAATCTGGCTTCTGGTTTCCCCGCCATGTTTGGTCACTTTGTCACAAACTTGCCAGCATTCAATCAGGTGCTAGTTTTTGTCTGTGTCAAATCAGTTCAAGTCCCTCATGTCAGTGAAAATGAAAGGTTGGTCATTAATAGGGTTAGTTCAAAGGAGCATTTCATATTTCGTTGCATTGTCAGGTATGGTTTACAAGGACATGCAACAGGAAAAATATAAATTTGAGAACAAAGTGATATCTGCTATAATACAATTTGTAGAAGCTGAGGAGGAAAAAATTCCAGACCTAACACACAAATTGTCTACAAATGATGGAAACTCAAATGTGGAAGACCTTGGTGTTTCACTTTCACAAAACACATGTAATAAGTCATGTTGTGAAGAGAACTTGTTGCCATCTTCACGTGATTTTCAGGTAATGATGAATTGTGATGCTACAAAGATGAGTCTCTGAAGATTATGAAAGCTAAAGAGTTTGGTGTTACCTATATACTAGGTCATTCCCTTGCAAAGGCAAAGAACTCATCTTCTATCTTAAAGAAATTTGCTATAGATATTATTTTTGCATTTCTAAGCAAGAATTGTAGAGATACTGATGTTGTTCTGAATGTTCCTCATATTTCTTTGCTATTGGTTGGTATGACTTACTATGTCTAGCTTTTTGAGCCATTTGCTTAGAAGAAAATAGTCAGGGTTTAGTGTTGGTTTAAAAGAGTGACACTGACTATGACTTCTACAAGCCAATGATCAAATTAATTGGTGTAAATTTTTCATTATTGATCTTTTGATGTTCATAGTTCTGTATCAAATAATGTAATTTAAAAAAAAAAAAACTGTTTCATACCAGAAAATAAAAACACTGACAAAATTGCTTGAAAAAAATATGCATATTCTTCCATCACGACAACCTAATTTCCGTTTCTTGTTCCTTTTACTTCGTTGAAGGATAAGCGCTTCAGTGACATACAAGTGGTACAGTCCTTAATGGTTCATTTTTTTCCAAGAAATGTTAGCAATGAACTCATTTCAACACATAATTTATTTTTAAGTAAAGAGTGATTGTAACGAGTGCGCTAAAGTACCAGTAATAAAATTAATAAATAATTTTTTTAAAATATAAATTATGGTAGAGTTGCATGAAAAATACTCGTTAATATTCTCTCTAGATAAATATATATGGGCCCTCTCTGAGGAAGAGAGTTGTTACAATTTTTTCAATCAGACTTGCATAAATTTCAATTCATAGTTAAGAATGGGTTATAAAATTGTGATCATGACTAATCTTAGTTGGTATTTTCATGGACTAGTTTGGTTGATTAAATTAGATTAAATAGGTTTTTCTTTATTAACTTCACATCAATGTCACGATTTTATTTGGGACAAAAATGCAACATATATATTTGTTGGACTTACACGTGTAATTATGGTATGGAGTATGGACCCTAATTGAGCTTGGAGAAAGATGAATAATTAGGTGATAAGCATGGATAATGGACTGATTATTCATGTTCATACCGTAGCAACCCATTTGAAATCTTACTCTTTGAGTAGTTAAACAAGTAATCGATGTATATATTCTACCAACTTTACTGCTTCAACTGCACAATAAATGTTTATAGCTGTCTGTTGAAGAAACTTCATTAGAAAAAATCTCCAAAATTTCCTTTAGCTGTAGCAGACTATTACCCTCATTCATATTAAAGGAATCTGGATGACATAATCTATTATTTCATTTATGTTACTGTATTTCCTATATAGTTTCATTCCTCTACACTTCCTTTCTTTCTCGGTACAAGGAAAAGTCAAAAAGAGAATTTGATTATTACCCATTATTTCTACTTTCTACCAATTGAATGAGGGTTAAAATTGTTATATGCAGAAACTTTTTTCAACACAAATTACATAAAAATCAAGAGAAACCCGTTGATGGTAAGCGACAAAAAAAAAATGAATAAAAAATGAATGATAAGAATTGAATTTACGTGAACTGTAAAAACAATTACACAGTTTGGTGCAATCACAAACTCATGTATGTCACATATATGTATAGCTTGTTATTAGGATTATAAGTGAGTGTAGTCAATTCCTAAACCAACTTGCAACTCACTTTATTAGTAACTATGTTAAAAATGTTCACTCATTTTATAAATGAGTTAGAGATCAAGATTTTGTATATTAAATTTAAGTCTGACTTCAAGTATGTAATGGCATAACTTTTTGTCTGTAGTTTTGAACAAACATTTGAAGGACTTTGAAAGCTTTTTTCTGTCTGATTGCTTTCTCATTCTTCACCCAAATGATTAAAGTCAGAGAAGCTCAACCTCACTCAACTGCAACAGAAACTAATCTCAATCACTTCACACTCTTTTGTTAGCATAGAAGGGAGAAGGGAAGTAGGGAGGTTGAAGTCTATGGGAGGAGTAGGAAGGAAGAAAAAGAGTTCACAAGGGACATTTAGCAACATAATAAATTGTAAAAAAAATTATATCAAATGGATCTTATTTGGTATAATGTAGTAATCAACCACTTCCCTTTCCAAGTGAAAAGTTTTTCACTTCACGGAACCTCACTATGGTGTTCTTTTTTCCTACCCTCCTTTGTCCTTTCCTCTCATTGCTTGACAAGCAAAGAATAATCAAATGCCATTCAAATTACAAGAAGGGAACTGACTCACAAAAGATGAAAAGCAACCATCACAATGAAGATAAATTGACCCAATTATTCCAATACTACCATACCAAATATTGCACTTGGACTAGAGATATATTTGCCAAGAAAGTTCCATATATGTTAGGACTTTGTAATCAGTTCGGTAGTCACCAATCACACCCTTCAAACCACGTGTAGAATAATAAATATATATGAAAACCCAAATCAAATTACATTTCAAAAAGGGAAGACAAGAAACATAACAAGCATGCACTCACCATAAAAGGGTCTAAGGCCAAATGACTCCTCTAAAGAAATTTCTACAGTGTACGTGTATGTAGTGTACCACTAACCCCTAAACATATGACATTGTAACAGCTTAAAAACCAAACCAAAAAAAGGAAGAAAAAAAAAGATTAATATTTGAATTTGACCAAAATATTTTAAGGTTGCACCTAACATAACATTAAAATGGCAGCTATCATATAATAGTGACTTCCAACAAGCCCAAGTAATCTCTCATCTACGACAATATTTGCTGCAAAGACATCATAATGAATCTTTATAGCATAGAGCATTGGTGTTGTGAAATGTCCAAAGCATCCTTATTAAGATTCAAGTTACTCAGCATGTCCATAAGGCCATTGCAACCTCCTTCTGGGGCATTCTTTCATATTTAACTCCTATTCCTAAACAAACCAACCTTACTTCAAAAGCAAAACCAAATATAAAAGGAAAACGACACAATGATACAAATATTAATTAATTTTATAGCCACAGTTATAGCCATCATTCTAAGGAGAGGAGAAGGAGGGAAAATGTCACAAGAGAATGAGGTTGAGATCACCTCCCTCAAGAAAAATCTTGAAGTCCAAATGGCAAGGAATGAGTCATTGGAGAAAGAAAACAAGGATCTCAAACAAGAAGTGACCCGTTTGAAGTCACAGATTATTTCACTGAAAGCACATAACATTGAGAGGAAAACCATACTATGGAAGAAGATTCAGAAATCCATGGATGGCAACAATTCAGATTCACTTCAACATAAAGCATCGTTTCAAGTAACAATGTCTGAAAAGAGTCCACAAGATGAGAAGAATGTGCATACAAATTCAGATTTGCAAGAACCAACAGCACCTAGAATCAAGGAAAGATCAACAAGAGTACCCACACCTCCACCAAAGCCTGCTTCAACCCCTCTTCTTCCTTCACACAAAAATGAGAAAGGAATGAAAGTGCAACCATTGCCAACAACAGCACCACCGCCACCTCCAGCACCTCCGAAATCACTTGTTGGATTGAAAGCCGTGCGCCGTGTGCCGGAAGTAATCGAACTCTATCGTTCTTTGACAAGAAATGATCCCAACAAGGATAGCAAAATAAATTCCAATGGAACTCCTGCACTTGCATTCACCAGAAACATGATTGAGGAAATTGAAAATCGATCATCTTTTCTCTCAGCTGTAAGTTTAGTTCCAAGATGCTCATTTTCTCAAGTTTTGATGAAAATTTACATATCAAACAATACTATCATGGATAGTCAAGGAAGTATGAACATGTAGTTATGTGGACACTGCATGAATACTCTGATTACTCGTAGCTACAATTGATCATTGCACTTTCACTTTTATTTTTTAAACCTTTGTAGTATACTAATTCAGATGGAGATAAGAATTTTACACTAATTACATATATTATAACATTTATATTATGTTTACAAAGATTTATAATATGTCTCTTTTGAAAAATAAAAGATCCGTGCTATATGTTAAATTTAAATAAATTTTATACATTTAAATATTTTTCATATCGTTGTGTCCGTGTCTGTGTCTAGTGTTATATCTGTGCTTTCCATTATACAGATAAAATCAGATGTTCAAAGACAAGGGGAGTTTATTAGTTTCTTGATAAAAGAGGTAGAATCTGCCTCATACAGAGATATTTCTGAGGTGGAGCCATTTGTGAAATGGCTAGATGGGGAGCTATCTTCACTGGTGGATGAACGTTCAGTGCTAAAGCATTTTCCACATTGGCCAGAACAAAAAGCAGATGCACTTAGAGAAGCTTCTTGCAACTACAAAGATCTGAAGAACCTTGAATCAGAAGTCTCATCATTTGAGGACAACCCAAAAGAGTCATTGGCTCAGGCTTTGAAAAGGATCCAAGCACTTCAGGACAGGCGAGCATGTACAAAACTAGAATATTCAGTAACTTAGTGTGTGTGGAAACATGTTGAAAAATTTGTAAACGTGGATCTAATGCCGAAGTTATAACTAGAAGCGTGTTTAGATTTACTTTTCAATACTCTTGATCCACATTTACTTCAACACTACTTGTTGTAGCTTCTTCTGCGTTAGATTCACAATTCCAAGCTTTTTAACTGTTTCTAAACACATACTAATAGCGTTGAAATAAATGTAAATCCATAATCATTTAAATCTGAATTCAAACAGACATTGTGTCTGTGCAGTGCTTTTGAGTAATTCAAAGATCTACCTTTAAATCTGCAGGTTGGAGAGAAGTGTAAATAGTACAGAGAGAACAAGGGAGAGTGCAAGTAAAAGATATAGGAATTTCCACATACCCTGGGAGTGGATGCTGGACACAGGGCTCATTGGTCAGGTAGGCAATACGTGCCTTATTTTGCAATAATTTAATAATCATAAAGTTTGCTTCTTCAACTAATAATACCCTTTCACCATGCTCACAATCCTGTTTTATATAAGTTGTGTTAAGAGTGAGACATTTCTATCATTTAATAAATTCTTATATAATGCAAGATTAATTAATCTAACTATTGCATCATTTTAAATTATCTTTATTATCATGTATATCAAATTTTATGTAATTTAAACATTTTATATATATAATTTAAAATTTAATATTTACTCATTTTAAAATATTAATCATAGAAGTGTTGAAGTTGACGCTGATATATATAACATGTTTGCAAATCAAGCAACCTCGGAAAGTCAGAGAAGTTTTGTTCTAAACGAAGTAAGCACTTAAAGAAATAAGTTAGATAATGAGTAAGAAATAATTTTATTTATATATTATACTTTAGTCTCTGCACTGCAGATTAATATGCCACTTGGTTGGCACAATGATCATTTTGTTTGTTGTTTTGTGACTTAGACGATAGTTGTTAGGATGAAGGTTCATCAATGTTGGGAGCATGGCTATTTGGTGCCCTTCTTTTTTTGGTCGAAAAAGCTAAATATAAGTTAAGAAGCACTTGCATTGCATTGCATACACATGCCCTGGCCAAGTCAGACCCTTAAAGTTAACTATTCATAAACCATGATACCTCATCCCATTCTATTTATAATAATAATGTATGAAAATTAGTAAAAAATTTATACTATATTTTAAAAATATTATAATAATAAATGGCAAATTAACAATTCATGCATTAAATGAACCTATATGTCTATAAATAATGAGTCAGTTTTTGGTTAATCCAAATCTCACAATAAAATTTTAAGTTGAATTAAGTGATTGACCATACAAATTATGTCACGTATATAAGTTGAAAAAAGAAATTAACAAATAACAAGCAATGAATGATAAGAATTATGTGATCTCATGCAACTTAATAGTTAATAATTATTCAGTATTTAGTTATTTATTTCCATTGACTGAATAATTGCAGATGAAACTAAGTTCATTGAGGCTAGCAAGAGAATTCATGAAACGAATAACGAAGGAATTGGAATGTAATGAAGCCTTGCAAGAAGATAACCTCCTACTACAAGGAGTTAGGTTCGCATTCAGAGTACATCAGGTATCTCATCATATTTTCACAAATATGAAAACATTTGCATTTGTTCATCTCATCAATCACCAAGACATTATTCATTCAGTTTGCAGGTGGCTTTGATACAGAGACCATACAAGCATTTCAAGAATTGAAGAAAATTGGTAGTGCTTGTACCAAACTATAGGAATCTCATCATACCCACAACAACTTTTATATCCTAAATTGTCTTCCTATATCTGCTTGATGTTCACATGTGACAAATGGAACTCACAAGCAAGTATATGCTCCCATATTTATGTACTATCCTAATGCATTGCCTATTTTTTCATTACTAGGCTTATGATTCCTTCATTATGCAATTATATCTCATCATTCTCATGAGCATAACCAATGTTAGAGTTTTTGTGTTTCATAAAACAAACCACACCTTATAATAATAATAATAATAATAATAATAATGCTAGTACTTTAATAATCTGCTGTACAAGAAAGAGCAGCGAGAGAAGAGGAAAATAAATAAATATATATATATATATATATATATATATATAAATAAATAATAGGAGGACAACATAAACTAAGATATTTAATTTCTAATTGGTGGTTTCGAAATACATGATGATTAGATGATAGAAAACTAAGCTCAAAATAATATAAAGCAATAATACCTAACTGAAGACATGAAAAACTATGCCATTGATAATGAACTGGGTTTTTTTTTCCTCGGCAAAATAATGACTTTAGGATATGTTTGATTTCTCCTTTAAAAATAGAAAACAAACATATCCTTACTTTTCAATATAATTTTTATTATTGCTTTATTTTTATAAATATCAATGCATTCTTTAAAAAATAATCTATTTAAAAAAATATTAATTTTTAAAATAAATTAATGATAAAGAATTTGTTTATATATAATATCATATATTTCACAAAAAATTAATTATTAAAAAAATTTGAGAATAGCTAAACTTTTAGCTTTATTAGTTCTACTATGTGTGATGCAACCATTTTAATTTAACAAAATAAAAATTAATGTTGACAAAATGGACTACTTAATTGATCTACCTTGATGTAACAAATAAGCTCCAGCAGTCAAAGGCTGAAAATACACAAATTTAATTTGAACTTACAAAAATAATATTTAAAATTAATAAAAAGTTTGATAGAATGAGATTTAAAAAGTTTGAACTTAATTTGGAAAAGTTCAAACTCTAAATTTTTATCAGGCAAGTTAATAGCCAATATAGTAAACAAGCCATTTTATTGGCTAATAAGAATAATCATTTTGTGTATATTAAATGACAATAATTGTTACAGTATTTTTGGTGAAATATTTGTTGTTTCGATGATTTTTTAAAAGTATTTTAAAATATGTCCATATAAAAGAAAATTCAGCAAAACAAAGATAATTAGAGCAAATAATATAACTCTTTAAAAAGTCTGTTTTTAGAATAATGACTTATTTACAAAGTAACAAAACTGACTTTTGAAAAGCTAAACGACTAACCAGAAAGCATGCAAAAATTAGTTTATTATTAATAATTCATTATTTTATATTAAAAAGGGGTCATAAACGTTATAAAACCAAACGTCAGTAAAATCCTGAAAGAATAGATAACAAGTCAACGATCGAAAAAGCAAAGCATACACAATAATTAATATGAATCATTTGCTACTATATTTAGGGAAATATCCAAAGAAATAATAAATAAATAATATTGACTGGAACATTATTATTTTGTATAAAAATATTATATAGTCTAGATTAAAAACTAATTTTAAAAAATATTTTTTTATTACATGTTTAAAGATTTATTATATATACACACAAATCCCAACAAACAACACAAAAGAGAAAGCATAATGTTAACACGTGTGAGCAAATAGAGGTTAAGATAAAGATAAAACACGTAGGCATAGCGAAAGTAGTGTACAAGAAGAGCACTACACTCTACACCACACCAGAGAGAGAGAGAGAGAGGTATAAAGGGTCCAAAGAAGAAGAGAGCACTCACCACTCACCTACCTTCCCTTCCTTTGTTTGTCTTTCTCACATTTTCAATTGTCAAATTCTTTATCCATAAATCCAAACACACTAACACAGGAAAAGAACCTTATTCCTATCCACAAAACAATGGGAACTGGTGCATCCAAGGACTCAGATGAAGGAAGCAAGGAAGAGAGTGATGGCCTTGAAGAAGCTGGTCGCCAACTCTATGTCTCTCTCAAGATGGAGAATCGAAAACTCACTGGTGACCTCGTTCCTCACGTTTATGGCTCTGTTCCTCTTATTGGCTCTTGGGATCCTTCCAAAGCTGTAATTTTTATCCCTACCCTTTTCTGCATTTCAATCATATATTAACGGGTCTTTCTTCTTTTTCATTCCTTCTATGGTTGTTGATGTTAGCTTTCTATGGAACGGGAATCAGTGTCAATGTGGGAACTTAGCTTTGTCATTCCACCTAATCATGGTAATGGTTTTTTTTTTTTTTTCCCTTTCTTGCTTTGCTTAATTTTGCTTTATGTCTGTTTCAACTGTTTTCTACTTTTTTTTTTTAATTCAAAAGTTGCAATTTTTAATAAGTTAATTGCTAATCCAGGCACTGCATAAGGAATTAAGTAATTTTTTATTATTGAAAAATGTAATAACTTACTCTTTCTGTGATTTTTAGTGTACGTCAATATAATTTTTAATTAAAACTATTTTGTGTTTCATGTATTTTCCAGTTTCTTTTTTAATTCTGAAGTTGCGTTTTTTAATGACTTTCTAACCTGTGCAATGTTGTGTGTAATAAGAATTTTTATACAGTAATTTCTTTTATTGCAAATTACATAATTTAATGGATTGATACTATTAAACGCTGTAATTTCTAACAAAAATTTACTGTTTATCGATTTCTTATCATGTGCAATGATGCATACATTAAAAAAAAAAAAATGTACTAAGGCAAATGCCAATAGCATTGGTTAAGAATGAGAAAGTGAAAATTTTTATTTGAAAGTACAACAATGCACTCTTCACGTGATTTCTAATGTTAATAAAACTTTCTACTAATTAACCTTAAGGGTACCTGTTAACAAGACCTTTTTAATAATTTGTCTCTTGCTGTTCCTTGTCTTATTCACTTAACAAAAGTATGCTCAGTAAAACAGTGGATAATGTCTTAAGATTCAGAGATTATGAGGGGAAAAAAGCAATAGCTTCGTTGCCTTCACTATGAACAGAGTCTGGTGTTAAGGTGTCTTGTTTTTGTGAAACAAATGAAGTTCGGCTATGAAAATTGTCTTCTGCTTAATTTTATTATTGACATTGAAGGGGTGTTTAATTTTTGAATTATGTGTGGGGTTTTCAGAAACTTTGGATTTCAAATTCCTGTTGAAACCTAAGCACAGCAATGCACCTTGTTTTGTTGAGGAGGGGCCGAGCCGCCTACTAGTTGGGGGAGCATTGCAGGAGGATGCCAGGCTTGCGTTATTTAGGATTGATAGTGGCGAGGTTCTCGAGTATCAAGTATTTGTTAAAGCGGACAGGGTTTCTCCCTTTGACCTTGCAGCTAGTTGGAGGGCTTATCAGGACAATTTTCGACCTTCATCTGTGCGATGGATCCCTGACGTTAGCATAAATTCAGCACCTCAGACTGGTGGTGAGGTAAAACCAAAATAAAATCCTTCCTCTTTGGCCTCCTTCTTTTTACTTTTAATCCTCTCTTTCCTTGCTATCTGTAGAACAAAGTGTTAATCTGGTTTTAAGTATTGAGATGGTGTGTACATGAAGGATGTCTTGCACTTAAAACCTCACCTTTCTCTAGACAATATTTTTCAACTGTTAGTGCAAAAATATTGGTCAGTTTGATAGTCCGGTTAATTTTTCCCTTGATTGTTATGTAGGCAATGTAATTTACTCAGGACTTTTCTAATCCCAACTAATTTTGCTGTCTTATTTCTATAGAGCTGTAGTTTGTTACTTTGTTTTGTAGTATGTTTCTAATCTGAGAAGGATGTTATGTGAAATGTATGGTCAAGGTTAATGTGAGGCTTACTTTATTCCTTGCTTCAGAATGGTTCTTCTGTGGGTTTGGAGCTTGATCTTGAGCATTATGTTGTCCCAACTCCTTCAACTTCTGCAAATTCAGCCCATGTATATGCAGCTAACATGACAGAGAATCCAAGGTCACTAATTAGTGGGTCTGGCAGCAGTTCATATCCCGTCAAGGTTTTACTTTCAAAATCACTTTTTAAAATTATGATTATATGTTCTAAATGGACTATTAGTTCTTTACAGTTTATTGTTTTGAGGATAATTGACTAAGTAAAAAACTTGAATCAGTCAGAGGATAAATTGTAATCAATTTAATAAATTTTCTGTGCTTATTTTTAACTTGGTCATTTTTTTTACCATGAACCTTTATTTTTTTGTATTGGATCTGTAACTGTATTTACGTAAGATTTTAATTGGTTCAAGATTGGAAACACCTGTGCTCCTTAATTTTGATTATCAGACAGAGGCTTAATATTATAATGTGCAATGGTGCTCTCACGAGCCTTTATTTTTCTGTGATTGTAATGGATCTTTAACTTTATTTACAGAAGACTAATTATTTCAAGATCGACAATGAAATGTCTTCTGTTCATCAACATCTGTGACTAACTGGCAGATATTTGATTCTACAGGGTGCTAATTTGACACACTCTCCCTCCCTTTGATAAGTCACTATATCTTTATAAGTAACAAATGATAGCACTTTATATGATGTTTAAATGTAAAATGCCACTTCTTGAGTCTAAGAGGAAATACGTAGGAAAGTAAGCTAATAGGTTATACTGATTCTTGATACTGCAATACATAATATATTACACCTAATAGGTTATGTTGATCTTCCAATCAGGAGATGGAGGTTATTGTGCCCGATCCATCAAAGATGTTTCAAAGTTCTGGAATGGTTGAATCCAAGTCAGTTGGAACATTTTCACCTCTGCAAAGGCAAGAGACACAGAGGGGACTTTTTGTTGATAGAGGTGTTGGATCTCCTAGACTTGTAAAATCTTCTAGTTCAAATATTTTCTCTACTGATCTCAATTTGTATCATGATACCAAGGTTTGTATAAATGATTTCCATTTCTGTTTATTATTTAAATTAATTGCATGTCAACTAACTTATATTGTGTTGCAAGGCTAGTAATTGTTTCTGCCCTTTTGCATTTCTATTGATAGAATTCAATGCCCGCTGCTGCTGGAGCTGTTGCTGCAGCAGCTGTTGCTGATCAGATGCTGGGTCCCAAGGAAGATAGACATTTGGCAATTATCCTGGTATTTCTCTGGCATGATGAGTAGTTACTCATTAATTTTAATAGTTAGTAATTCTCTTTATACTTTTTCTTGTTGCTTCAAGTTAGAGTCTTAGGTTGTAAATTACATTAGATAAAAACTTAAGAATATATATTGAGTATTTGGAAACTCCTGATAAAAATATCATAATTCCGTTTGTAGTTCATCAAATTTAGTAAATTAAAATTTCTAAAAATATTTTTTTTCTAATTTTAAGTAATTTCTTTTATGTAGGTGGGTCTGCCAGCCCGAGGTAAAACCTTCACTGCTGCTAAACTTACAAGATATCTTCGCTGGTTAGGTCATAATACCAAACACTTCAATGTTGGCAAGGTTGTTCACATTCTTAACACCATTCATCTGTTTAATCAATATACTTTGACCTAGTGCAAAACTGAAAATATGTCAAATGTAAATATTAACACACTTATTTTTGGAGGTCGCAGTATCGTCGCCTTAAGCATGGAGCTAATCAGGTAAACTTTATCATATGCATCTGTGAAATAGTTTATGCCTTACTTAATGGTTATCTGCATAGTTACATTATATATTTAATGGCATACAAGTTCTCATGATTACAGAAATTTGTTCTCTCATATTTATAATGCTTAATTTTTACTTTTATTTATTTCCCTTATTGGATATAGTACTGTATACTGATGCCTGATATTAATTGTCATAAGAATTAATGGGGTTTGTGATGAAGGTGTAGATGGTGAAAATAATTCCAAAACAGTGGTCATAGAATTCTTTTCTAACATTTTGTTTAACTAGTTATCACTTCTCAGTATTCTAAAGTTCAATGAGTAACATGTGGGGATGGACTCTAATATGATGACACAGGCTTGGTGTTTAGAAACCAAAACGAATATAGTAGGAACATGATTTGCTATAAGTTTGACAGTCAGTGATTGTCTCTTTTTAAAAAGAGTAATACCCCACACATATGCACCCATTCTCAATTTTTAGGTGACCCTACACAGGACTTTAGTTTGGCTGGCACCCTCGCTACTTCTGTATTTATTATCAATTTCAGTGCTGCTCCTTCAGTAGATATTGATGGTATTTGTGAGATTGAGATCTAGTTGGAATTGCTACATATCAAATTGAGCACAATTTTGTAATGGAATAGCCTGCTTGTTTCAAAATTGCCACGTCATGATATCATCACAAGGCAGTGGACAGCTGATTTCCTTTCTAGATGTTTGTTTTATTCTTGAAATCAAGATGTTGCACTAGCCTGCCATGTTTTCTTGAGTAATCTTAATTCTTATCATATTATTTTCTGCAGTCTGCTGATTTCTTTCGAGCTGACAATCCTGAGGGTGTCGAGGCACGCAATGAGGTAGTTTTGATCTTTTTTTTTTTCCCTTAATTTAAGTAGATTAAGTGTGAACCTGTGAAAACTGACACGATAAAATATATAGCTTGCATACTAGGTCTTTATTATTATTTACAATTTTTTGATGGCTTTGCTACTATAATTGGTTTAATCTTATTCTATTGGACTATTTCATTTCTTAAATCATGCCACTTAACTAATTATTTTTTTATTCTTCCTTTCAAGAAAACCATACTACTGTTTTGGTTCTGAATCATACCTGCCACTGTTTCTTGAATAAAACCAATATTATTCAAGTTGAATATTCTGTGATTGCTAAGTACAGCATGGTGCAAAAACTTCACCATCCTGACCCCATAAAAAAGGGGGGGGGAGGGGATTCCTATCACACATTGGCATACATTGCCTTGTAAAACAGTGTTATCTCAAACAGTGCTATTATTGCCATTTATTTTGTTTTAAATGAGTTTGTTAGCATAAAGTAACACCACCCAGAAAATTTAGAATAAAGGAAACGCGAAAAATTCATATTGGCAGACATCATCATGTTTAGACTTTGCTATCCTTCAGTATAGTGCTACTTCTAATATTTGATTTATAATGGATGGTTCACATAATGTTGACACCATGTTGACCCTTTCTCTGTGTACATAGTTTTAATATATCACGTGCCACTAGGTAGCAGCACTGGCATTTGAAGATATGATATCTTGGATGCAAGAAGGTGGCCAGGTAAGTTCATTCTTGTTTGATTTTTTGTTACTTTAATGCGTTCTTTCATGCTATTTTGCATAAGTCTTAATTTCAATTTAGGTTGGGATATTTGATGCCACAAACAGTAGCAAGAAAAGAAGAAACATGCTAATGAAATTGGCTGAAGGAAGATGCAAGGTAGTCAAAGACAGCCCTGAAATAAGTGTATGATATAAAAGTAATATTTTTAGTTTTGAGCTCTTCTGATTCACGTGTCTTATTGTTGCAGATTATCTTCCTGGAAACAATATGCAATGATGTAAATATAATTGAAAGGAATATTCGTCTTAAAATTCAGCAAAGTCCTGATTATGCAGAAGAGTAATGTTTCATTTAACACCAGTGACACCGTATCTTGATGGCTATGTGGATACACATGCAATTAACTTTCTTTTGCAGGCCAGATTTTGAGGCTGGATTGCAAGACTTTAAAACTCGCCTAGCCAATTATGAGAAGGCAAGTCTATACAATTTACTTTTAATGATTGTTCTGGCTGAGCTTTTTTCCCTAAATAATGTTGATTCCATGTACCAGGTTTATGAGACAGTAGAAGAAGGATCTTACATAAAAATGATTGATATGGTCAGTGGACATGGTGGACAAATACAAGTAAGTTCAATGTTTATGTCATTGTTTCATTGAACATAATCCTGTTACATAGTTCGTTATCTAGTTGGCTAGTGTAATAGATTGCATATGATGGTGGTTGTCCATTTGGTAGCTGTAGTTTGATAGTTGAAAGATTGCATATGAATGCTTGGTGATGTGCTTAGCATAAGATGTGTTGATAATTGTAAATGGTGCAAAAATGTTAAAATTTTAGTAGTTCAGCTTATTGATTTCCTTCATGGTGTTACTCGTGATTGGACATAACTGATTCAAGAAATAGTTCTGTTAAGTTAGAGGTTTTTAGGTCAGGGTAGTGATTTTTACTACCCTGATAAACTAAATGTAAATTCTAGTTGCAGCAACATCTTAATTATGGTATCTTGGATATTGAAATGGTTTAATTTCACATCTAACTTAAGATGATTATAGTACTCTTTGATTTCCCTTTATGTCTGTCTATAATTATTTGTTCCATGTGTTGGAATATTAATACTTATAGTTATTTGGAGTTTCCAATTATATCTAGATTGCATCTAAACTAGTTTACGGTATTTTAGAGATTATTTCTTAGAAATAGTTTCTGTATTTTCTTTGTTTTTGTCTTTCCTATTATTTCATAATTTGTTAAATTTAGTTAGGATTATGATTAGTATAAATAAGGATTAATGCTTTAGGTTTTTTGAACAACATCTTATTGTAATACAATACAATGCACAAGTGAATAATATTTAGTATTATAGTGCTCTTAATTATGTTGATGTTGATGGGTAGAAAATTTGTGATCATTGACAAAGTGTTTAAGCGCTGACTTCAGAACTTTTTCCATGTATTAGAATTGATTGGCTATTCAGATATTTTGTGAACACTGGCAAAGATAGAGTGTAGAGGGCCTCTGTGTGTGTTCTTGAATTTCTACGTACCTATTTAGTTTCATGTGTGACTTTTATTTGTTAATTGTTAATAATTTGTGTCTTTGGTCTAGGTGAACAATATCAGTGGCTACCTTCCCGGACGAATTGTCTTTTTCTTGGTAAGCTTGTTGAAGTATGTAGTTAAATACCAAAATTACAGTTAAAATGTGTACACACACACACAAAACAATTAAGTTGATTAACATACTATCTGACCCAATATTGACAAAATTAATGTGAATAAGCTATCACTCTAAACTTCTATCCTTGGAAAATACGGAAGTTTCTTACACCTAGGTTACATATTGCATCACATAAATAATTGGGTTGGACTTATACCTAGTGAAATGTCTAATTGAGCTTTCGTAATTGACCTTCTGGAAAGACACTTCTCCTCGAACTTTTAGGAAGCAGCAAGTCTTACAAATCTTTGTGGCTAGGGTTTGGCTTTATAGGACAGATGCAAGAACATACATAATCTTCTAAAAAGCAATAAAATATCTTTATGATACTTACCTTATAAACCATTAAATGGGAAGTTCTATTAGTTCTACTCAATCTGAATGAACAAAGTGGTTCTTGTAGGTTGCGGCCAAGATAGCTATTAATTATAAATAGATTGTGTTTCTTAAATGTGTTTTAGGAATAATGATGACGGCATGATGCAAAATAATATTAAATTTAATAGGGCCTGGTTAAGATTTGTTGACTCAATTAAGGGTAAAATATTAGCATCGTAAGTTATTTATAATCATAAAGTACTTATTAAGCTGAAAGGATAATTTTATCGTACTTCATACGATCAACTATTCTATATAGTAACAAATGTTGGACATTAAAAAAAATGAGAAAAAAAAAATGAAAGTGACAGATATGAGAATATTAAAATAGATAAATGGTCATACAAGATAAAACAGGATAAGAAATTATTATATTTGCGAGAATATTCGAGTAATATCTATAGTGAAATTAGTGAAAAAAATGATAAAAAATCATTTAAAGTGGTTTGATCACGTGCCAAGAAAGCTATCAAGGACACCAACGAGGAGAGTAGATAACTTAATTTAATCTAGTGAAAAAATGTAGATGATTCAAAAGAACTTTAGAAGAAATTATTAAAAGATATCAGTAATAAATGATATTTCTGAGGCTTGGTTGTTGTTTATTAAGGGTAAAATATTACTAGGCTTTCACGTTAGGGAGATTTACAAGAATTAATAGGTAGTTAATGTTATTTATGCTAGTGTTTGAGTCAACTTATGTGAAGGCTAATTCTGTGGAACAAGAAATACACAAATCCATGGATACTGGAACTAAACTAATTAATTACTTTTTCATATTCACTCACAAATACATGTCAATGTTCCAGGAAAATGTTACTGGGGATATTGTACTGCTCAGTCTAAATTTGGAGATGTGGTTATAAAATAAAAATGGTTTTTTATAGAAGGTTTTCTGATAGTTGAAAATATTATATATTTTACAAAAACTAATATCTAAGAAGTTTTGCATAGACATTGTATCACTTGTAATTTTCGTATGAATAACCAGAAGTTTTCTTCCGTTTCATTTTCATACATTTATAGAAACCTCAATTTATGTGCCGTAGGTAAATACACATCTTACACCACGCCCAATATTGCTTACTCGACATGGGGAAAGTCAGGATAATGTGAGAGGCAGAATTGGAGGGGATACTGCAATAAGGTATTTCTTATTTTTGGTCTCTTCAGTTGCTATTCAATGTAAGGTTAAAATTGAGGATGATATATGATGTAGAAAAGGAAGAGAGATGAATGTAAATGAACAATCTGGTCACTGTTTTGACTAGTTTACCAATTAGTCTGGAAAGTGGGAGGTTTTGTACTGGGACCTTTAAGGCTTTGTTGTCATATACTTCTAGTATTATGGCACAATTGGTTTCTGAGGGGAGACAAGGGTTGTTAGATAATAAATTCAATTTAAGGGCTTTCTTGCAAAGGTTGAAACAGTGCAATAGTTCTAACTCCTCAATCTTTGAATTCCTGCTACTCTTCTCCCTTTTTTAATGTGCTGTAATCACTCTTAATATTTGGCCGACTACCTAAAACACTATGCTATTTGTTATAACAGTGAGGCTGGAGAGCTTTATGCAAAGAAGCTTGCTAACTTTGTTGGAAAGCGTCTTAAATCAGAACGGGCTGCTTCTGTAAGCTTTATCAATTGTATAGATTCAATCACTGCAATTTTCCTTGGAACCCAATGTTTACACAAAGTTGATGCTGGAATACTAATATTCTTCTATGCATGTGCCTAGGCTTATAAAAATTTGGTTTATGACTGAGCTTAATTGCGTCGAATGATCTATGTAATTGACTTCATAGGATAAGGCTTATTTGTTACATGTGCCTAGGCTGTTGTCTGCTAAATCCGCATATAACATTTTATGTGGAACTGTGATATATTGCCAGTGTCATTGACGATATATCACTTAATTATAGTGAATCTGCTAAACAATGTTGTGAGAAATAGAATCAGTTATAAGTCAATCAGTGATTGACACTACTCATTCAATAAATTTCAGTGGTTTAGTAAGAGATTGAAGACTAAAACTTGGAGAAACCATCAGAAAGAACTTAGTTTAAAATGGCCTCTCTAAACACCTGGTTCTTGGCATTAAATGATGTTGTTCGGTCCATGACTCTCTATAGTTGATCTGCAGCTAGTGTGAAAAGTCTTTTGTTGTGGTTGGAGTCACTATTTTTGGGAGGAGGGTGGGGATGGGGGGTTATGATTTATGAATTGTGTTAAAAAATGAGGGTAATAGTTGTGCTGTTAATGCAGGAAAGTTTTTTTATTGTCTCTTGTTAGAAAAGGTTGTTGGAACTTGGGGGGGAGAGAGAGAGAGAGAAAAGAGATACATGTGCTGAAAACTGATGTCTCAAGTCTCAACTACAACACAGACTCGATATTTTATTAGGAATATGATAAATTCCAAATGACAACTCTTCTAATTACAATATTTACATAGTACACTAAACCTAGACATAATAATACGTTTCTGATGAAGGCAATACAAAGAGAGTTGCCAAACTTGCCATGCATTTGAAAGTAAAGAAGATAAATCCTAGGTTCTATTCCTTCCTCGAAGTAATACACAAGACAAGATTCGTCTATTTAATCTAAATATGACTCAATAAATTCGAAGGCACGTCTTTGTGCTGATGACATTTGTGATGGTTTAAATTCAACAAGAGTGGAGAAGGAACAGAAAGGGTTTTATCCAGGTTTGGACCTCAGGTATCATCATAAAAGTGCAGGTTCCCTCCCAAGCAAGTTAAACCTTTTAAGGTTTCATGAATTTTCATATCTACCACTACAGTGTTGTTATCTTTACATGTAGGCTTTGTTGAAGTTAATAACAAACAAGTTCTCATATTAACTGAGAGCATGTATAAATATAAGCAAATATTGAAGTGATGGATGATTTGTGATATTTGTAACTGGTTGTCTAGATATGGACTAGTACGCTGCAGCGCACAATTCTGACAGCAAGTCCAATTGTTGGATTTCCCAAGGTTAGTGTCATACTTAAGCTTATGATTGTCTGCAGTCATTTCATTTATTTCAGGAGAAATGGGTTGACAAATTTACGCCGTGTGACTTACTATCTTTATGTTTGTTAGATACAATGGCGTGCACTAGATGAGATAAATGCTGGGGTTTGTGATGGCATGACATACGAAGAAATCAAGAAAAACATGCCAGGGGAGTATGAGTATGTTGCAGACTTATAATTTCTCTCTTATTTGCAAGTTGAATGCAACTGGTATATCAGATAACAAAGAAGCCTAATGTGAAACTTTTGGTTTTTGCGGTTAGGAAATGCTATTTAGATGGCATGATTATTTCTTTTTCCCTCTTATTGCAGATCCCGCAAGAAGGACAAACTTAGGTATCGTTATCCTCGTGGGGAGTCATACTTGGATGTTATTCAAAGGTTCATACATTTTATCTTATAAACATTATTTATCTTCATGCTTCAACTTTTTTTTATACAAGTAACTCTAGTTTTAGCAATAATACAGGTTAGAACCTGTAATTATAGAGCTCGAGCGACAGCGAGCACCTGTTGTTGTGATATCTCACCAGGTTGTACGCAAAACATTAAGCTAAATTTGTGCTTGTATGGACTTCATGGTTGACTGGTTTTAATCCACGAGGTTCTTCCATATTTTTCTCATTGCAGGCAGTTTTGAGGGCACTATATGCTTATTTTGCTGACAGGCCTTTGAAAGAAATTCCACATATAGAGGTAATTTGTGTATTCATATTTAGCTGAACTCTTGTCACCTTTTTATAAGTTTTGTTCTTACTAGATGGGTGCATATGAAACCTGGAGTTTGATGCTTTGGCCTGATTTACTTGGTTCCAAATATTTAAAGAACAAATTAGTGTAGCCTTATTCTTTATGTTGTAAGCATTAATCATTTTATCCTTAACCTTAGAAAACATTATGCATAATCATATTAGTCTATAGTTGAAAGGAGTAACGTAAGCAATGTTCTTTTACAGTTGAAAGGAGACTAAAATGACCAACGCATTCAATAACGATTAAACTGATAATTTATTGAAGAACAAACTACAGTTGTTTGTAGTTATACTCTAATGGAATGGAGATTGTCTTACTTTTCCATCCTTATATTTTGTTGTTAACAATTTTTTTATGGGATCATGTCATTTGGGAAAGTGGTCACTTTTGGTGAATGATGATGAACATGCTGAAGAATCTAACATGAGATTTGTCATTTCCAGGTTCCTCTTCATACAATAATAGAGATTCAAATGGGAGTTACGGGTGTCCAAGAGAAAAGATATAAACTAATGGACTAAAATGAATTGAAGAAAAGTTCTCTTGCTAATATTATGGCCAACAAACCAATTATCCATTCTTCTGATTTCAATTTATTAGCAAAATGTAATATTCCCGTGAATGGACTACATTGTTTAAAATTACCATAACGAAGGGAAGTTATACTCTTCAATATTATTTCATTTCAAATGTAAATGACTTCTCTTTTGGAAATATATTCATCCATTGCATTGCTAATACACATTCCATGATATTGTAAGTTTAAGCTCTTGATTATGAAAAAAAAAACTTTGACTTTAGGAGTTTAATATTTCAGTCCTTAATTATGAAATTATGTTAAATGATTTTATTATTCAGAAAGTATTAAAGCTCAAAGCTTTTATGCCTTGCCATCTAAGTGCATCTTTGACTTTAACATTTGGTTGAATGAGGGAAAAATTAACCCATTCTTGGTTCCATCATGGTTACAACAAGCCTAGTCTTAACCCCAGCTTACCAAAATCTTATTATGCGATTATGGACCATCACGTAATTTTAAAATACTCTTTAACGTGTTTTTTTTTTAGTAGTTATTAGTTAAAATTTATTAAAAATTATAAAAGTATTAAAAAATATTTAATTAAGAGTAAAAGTGAAACTCTAATATTTTTTAATAAATTTTAATTGATAACTAAGAATGTGTTAAAGCAAGTGTTGTTAGCATTTTATTTTTTTTTGTAATTTATCTTTCACTGTTTGGATTGAATATATTTTAAAAATAATGAGGTTTTAAAAAGTAAATTAATAAAAAAAATTAATGTATAATTAAGACGCTAAAATGGCTTTGTTCCCAAGTGACTCCTGACTTAACTTTGAATCAGTCGAACTTCAATGTATTTTTTTAGATATTGAGAGTCTAAACAAAAAAAACAAAAGTCAATTTTATGATTAGAATAACTAATTGATAATAAATATTATATTGAGATAACTTAGTTTTGTCTTCCTATTCAATGAAGAATAAACAGGCCAGAACATGGATAAATAAGAAGTTCGGATATGGCATCAGAACTGATCCGTACGATTACCATGAGAAGCCTACGTTGCATGATTATTCATCTCCTCATCCCACCATTTGCAAGCCAAGTAAACGACGATAATTACCATTCACTTCGCACTCAACGCAAATTCCGAGTCACATCTTGTATACAATATTTAAATTAACACTCCTTTAAATTAAACTTGTTTAAAAAAAAAAAAACTAATATATATAACTTATAAGTTAATTTTTGAATTCAAATTAGAAAAAAAGTTTTGATGTACATAATAATTATATCTGACTTGAACAAGATTGTTTATAATAAAACATATATCAATTGAAATAAAAGTTCAAATTCAACTCAAACGAGTTTAGGGTCTGTTTAAATATTTTTGAATGAATTAGGAAAAAAATTCTTAAAATTTGAAGTCTAAATTTTATAATTTAGTGAGGCCGATACAACCTATTTTATGCTCTACTTTAACATAACTAATTGATTAGGTAGAATGATCAAATAACTAAAAAAAAAAAAAACAAAGCTAAAAAAAGTGCAATAATTTTGAAGTGCATTGGAAGATGGCAATTTGCCATATTAGGTGGCTCTTTACATGATACAATAATGACATGGTAGCAGTTCGGAGTACGTCAGAGTTCACGAGCCTATACATATGAGCATGCCATGTCCTCTCTTAAAAGGAATGAATTGATCCATTGGCGGAAGCATGCAGCAAAAAATGGTGGAATCTATGCAAAGATCTACTGTTTCTATTGGCATTTAGCTGCGCTTGTAGAGTGGTCAATGTGTGACAAAATAAAGAGAAAGAAAATAAAGTTCTGATAGTGTCTGGTTCCATTCACATGGGACCCCTGAACATCCCATTGCATCTTTTAAACACAGTAATGGGGACCCCTTACCCAACCCCACTTCTAGCCCAAACAAAATGCCACCCCTATATTGACAAACTTTTAAGTAAATAATGATAATAATAACTAAGCAAAACATAGTTGAAGCAAGAACTTCCCTTTCCTTTGTTTACATTGGCTTTGGTGCAATAATATTTTGCAAAAGTCTCAAGAATCTTCACTCGGAATGATAAGACCTTGGGATCCCCTACTCAAATCACCACTTATAATAAATAATTGAGGAAGAATGGTTCATTATTTTACACGATCTCTTAAATACTTCCATTATTATTCAATAAATGTATTATTATTTAATAAAAGGCAAGCCTTTATCATGACTCGATGAAGCTAATGAAGTGGGTCGTTTCGACTTAAATTCGTTAGCTTTTAAGGTTTAAATTTTAATTATTTTATAGCTCAAATATGAAACAAATTTTTTCAGTCCAACGAAATAAAATTGACTCAGATTAATTAAATAGCCTATTTAGGATATTCTTTAACTTACTCTTTTTAAGAAGTTGTTCAGAAGAATTTATAACCCTTTTATAAGAAATAAATTATGATCTTCATTGGCCAATATTATCATCTCTCAGCAAGATAACTTTTTATACATATAAAACGATAATTAATTGAGGGTCTATAATGATGCATTAAAAATTACTCCACCGAAACCATAGTATACAAAAAACTATAAATAAATAAAAAGACTACACTGCTCCACATGAATATAATAAAACTCAACTACCCTCTTCTGCTGCCGTCGCCTTCACGAGTCCTTCATTTCTTCACCTTTTTTTCTCATCACATCACCCTCCCATGCATAAGTCCCCATTTAGCTCCTTGGATACAGGGATTCTCCTTTGACTTCAACTTCACCCTTCACACCCTTTTCACTAATACAATACATATAATGCATGAGAAACACAAACTTGTTGCTAACCATCACACGCAAATGTATCATACCCAAGAGGCAACACTCCCCTAATTTATCCATTCCCTCACCACAAACTAACTTCACTTTCACGTAACCACTTTCACATAACACAAAAAGAGTAACCACACACCAAGATTTTGATCCACTTCACTCTGAACCACCCAGTACCCACCCACTTAATAAAACCCTTGCAAGTTCAAACCTTTATGCAGAAATCAAACACCCTTTTGGCCATTCTTCACAATGCCAACCCAATCTGACTCATCCAACAACCCCATCAACACGTTGACCCAAATGTTTCAGAACATTTTCTCAGACAACAGTAACATCATGCTTGCAGCTATTGTTTCTTTGCTTCTTGTTATCCTCTTTGTTCTTCTTCTCCACCTCTATGCCAAATGGTTCTTGGCCCAGGCACAAGCTCAGGCCCGACGGCGCCGGCGACGACGAACGACGGTGACCGTCTCCGACGTCCTTGGCCCTGCAAGGTTCCACCATTTCCATAGCTTCAACATACAAGACTCACCCTTTTCCAGTTCTCACACCAAAGGGCTTGACTCATCCATCATTAGATCAATTCCACTCTTCATTTATGAAGAGGGTGGTAATGGTACTGGTGATGATGAAAAGGGTAGTATTGGTAAGAAGAAGAAGGTTGAAGACGAAGTTGAATGTGTGATTTGTTTGAGTGCTTTTGAGGATGGCGAAATGGGAAGGTGTTTGCCAAAGTGTGGCCATGGTTTTCATGTTGAGTGCATTGACATGTGGTTGAGTTCACATTCCAATTGCCCAATCTGTAGAGCTCCGATTGTAGTTGGTGTTGTTGAGAACGATTCTCGTATGGTTTCAATTGATGGAGATGAATATGATGGTTCTGATTTGGTTGAGATTGTGATTGATGATGCTCCAAGTTCTGAGGTTAGAGAGAGTGAGCATGAAAATATTGATAATGGAAGAAGGGTAAGTGTTTCTGTGTCAGAAACTTCATCTTCTTTGTTTGTGTGCTCTTTGGAGAGAATGCTTAGCAAAGTTTTCCCACCTTCTAATGTAAATGAATTACACGCTTGAGATGATGCTATATATATGATATTGTTCAGTGTCTACTTTCTACAATCTACACAATTCACCATGAATAGTATATAAGCAACATCGACTATAATTCTGTACAGGCTTCTTTGTTGGCTTGTTGGTTCCTGATCCTTCTATGAAATTGTTCTTGGCAATTTTTTTTGTCTTTCAATTTCACTTTGCGTTTTTGTTCTCTTGTTTTCACTACTGGCCAATGCATTTTTCGCTTTTTGTGACAGCTAGACGGTATGAATAAATATAAAGGAAGTTTTTTAAACATATATTATAAATATTATAATTTTAATAAAAAATTTATTATTTATTAATATTTTGACAAGTATTATTGAAAACACATTAAAAAATGTTATTTTTTTTATGGATTAGTTGAATGGGCTTTCTGCTAATGCTAACTTCTTATTAGCACACATTTGACATCGCAAAATTTTCACTGTTTAAAAAATATTTTTTACTTAGACCAAATCTACAACAATTTATGAGCATAATCTATAGTGAATTGTATCTATGTTAAGAGCAATGCAGCGAGCTAGCAGTAGTAGCAACCCCTCTATTGCTTCTTTTGAACATAGTGTCGCAAAGTGTCAACACTAGAGGTAGCTGGCTAAATCAAAGGGTAAAGACAAGCTAGCTAGTACTTTTATGGATACCACTTAGGCACTTATCAATGCTACTTTGGTTACTCACATTAACACATTTCATGATACGCTTTTTCACAGCAATTGAATGTTCTGAAGTCTAGAGTTGTGTTGTTCACTGTCGTGATCAAAATTCAAAAGTTGCAAAATAATGGATCGCTTGTTTGCAGGAAACTACTAGAGTAGCGTTTAGGCGGGTCCATCAGTCCTATAAATATCTTCAATAATTTAATATCTGAATTGGTTCACATAGTTAATTTATTATGAATTTAATTTTCTATAGTGGTGCATTTTATATTTGAGTTATTAGTTTTTTTTTTTTAAGTTTAGTTAGATACTGGTTAAAAAATTAATAAGTAAATAAATTTATTAAATTTATGATGAAACTATATTATAAATGATAAGATATTGTGTTAGTAATAATTTTATATAATTTTGTTTATGCTTTAATCAATATCCTAAAGATATTTCTAAATATTTCCTTTATATTTAAACAATACTCTTATATAGTTTTCTAAACATGATCAAGTCCTTCCAATCTTTGTCTATTATGAAACCTGGTCATCGTATTTTAAGTGAAACAAATGACTAATAATATAAATTATAGCTGTAAAAAGTGATAAATATTTTATGAAGTGTAATGCCAACGTTTCAAATGATTTCACAATTTGAATTATGAAATAATAAAAATTTGATATTACATCTTAATCCTACTTGATTCACGATTTTCATTTATTACTTTTATACATATTTTATTCTATTATCTTTCAAACTACTTTGAACAATCCGTATATAAAAATAAAGAAAGTATGAATAATTATTTTTAAATAATAAGTATCATTAATTCATTCTGCAAGAATAATATATAAAATAAGGGATAGGTGTATTTTTTTTTTAATAAAAATGATTTTAGATATAATCATCACTGACATTGGGAAATTAAGAGTAAGTAAGTGCACATGTGTGTGTATAACAATTTGGTCTTAACTTGAAGTTTTGAACTTGAGCACTAAAAGGGTATTAACTCAAACTTGATTTAAATTAAATGTATAACCTTAAAAAAAAACTAAATCAATCTAATTAAATTTTACTTTATGGCTCCAATCCAAAGTCCAAAGTGACCAGAAAACAGTGTTAGAGAAGGACAAAATAAAGTGTGTACAAGCATTTCCATGATTGGTGGTCAATGTTTTTGAAATTTTCTGCATGAGGCTAGAGCTCTTGTGGGTCAAAGAAACTGGAGCAAGTGAGCCCATCAGAAATGATGACTGCTTCACAGAATTTAATGTACACCTTGGCCTGACCCAGACAAACTTGTTTAGTCAATATTTCACACAGAAAACAGAAAACAATTGGATTATCATCCCCATACTTTTTCATTTTATAGCAACACGTTTTTCTTATTCTTTTTAATAATCTTTATATGAATCTCAATGAAAAGATAATATGCTCAACTACTTCAGTGTGGTTAACATAAAATTATCTAACACCAGAAAATAAAAACATGTCACATTTTAATAAAATACTTACCGCAATATTTATGGGTTATTTCTTTCATTTCTTAATATTTTACTTATTTTCACTCTATTCTCGAGTTGCATTAACAATATTGCATCTCACGTTACTTATTAAACTTATCTTTGATCATATACTTTTTGTTTGATGAAAAATCAAACTTTTAATATAAATATTGTGAGTCTATGTTAGTAATATAATATATCAAATGTATATATTAATTTGCTATATCTACATAATCGTTTGATAATTTAATGCTTTATATTATTAATGTAGTTTTATTGTTAATAATGTATATACCAATTTTCACAAGGGATGAAACTTTTCTTTGTGTGTGTTTTAAGAGGAATAACAATTTATAATAATACTATATAAGGAAGAACTTTTACATAAAATACACTAATTTATAACAAATACTATGCGAATAAATTTTTTCTGTTAAAAATATTAATATTTAAATAATAAGTTAACATGATTATATATAAAATATATCAATATTTTACGTGATGTTAAAATTTTTACATGATAATGTAAATTATAAAAGTAAATTAGAAGCGATTAATTAATCTGTGACATTACCGTTGTTGTTGTTCCCCGCAATTTGTCTGATGCAATTAATGGTGGTAGATGTGAAGATGCGACAGCGCACATGATCAGCAATTAATCATCACTCTATGCAAAAATATTCTATCGATCTAAGATTTTTACTTTTAGAGATACAATAAAAAATAAAAATATTATCAACCCATATCTTAACACTTTTTTAACAAATATTTTTTATTATTAATTAAATTTTATTAAAATTATGAAAGTCGGGCTATTTTTAATTTTAATTAAATGATTTTCTTATCTTTATAATTTTAAATATGTTATAAAAAATATGTTGCTATCACTTCTAATAAAAGTATTATAAACAATAATTTTATTAAAAAGTTTTTAATTTTAATTTATTATATATACACTTTTATCTTATATTATTAATGACAAAATATTTTAAGAAAAAGGTCTTATTAAGTATTTATGAGACTTAAAAAAATAGGGTCTACTCGAATTAAAGTGATTAAAAAATTAATAAAAATATTAAAATTTTAAGAATATATTTTTTATCTATCAAAATATAATGTTTTTTTTATTTTAGCTTCTATAAAAGTACGGTTCAAGTTCATATATTTTTAAAAATTGCTGGTTTTAGTCTTTAGGCACCATTGAATAAATATATTTCTATCATGTTATAAAATAAAAAATAATAATTTTATAAAGACAAAAACTAAAATTTGATATATAGTTTAAAGAACTAATAATATGTATGACAATTAAAAATATAAAAAATCACAATAAATGTGTATTGTTAATTTTTTTTCTTATTTAATTTAAAAATTTGAGTACAGAAATTAATTTTGATATAGCAACATTGTTTAACAAGCAATTACAATGTCTTTCGGCTCTGCATAGCAAGGCTACAGAAAAATGAGGAAATCCTTATTTTGTCATGCAAAGATGAAAGTGATTTTTTAAATTTTAGAAAAAATTGGTTCAAAAGTGCCTAAAAAATTGTGAAATTTGGTTCAATCCTCGCAACACAAGCTCAGGAATGAAAGGTTTTGGGGATGTTATATATCTAAATTTACATGCATCATGAAACATGTGAATTTAATCCTACCACTATGTATGTGTTAAAGCACTTTACTTTGTTGTTCTGTTTCTTTTTGACTTTTCTTGGCCTTAAAAAGCCATTTAAGTTTCTTTTATTTTTCCTCTTTAGCTTCTTTCTTTTTTCTTTGTATATTTTAATTATTATAAAATAATTTTGCTTGGATCAAATCTATCATATTGTTATGAGCATCACTCTGTAATAAACTAGCTAATTAAGTATTCTCTGCTTGAAATAATTTTATTCGAATCAAATATTTAATATTATTGTATTAATTAAATTTGAGCTGAAAATTACATTTTAATTCACTCTCCAAAATCCATAGAGGATAGTTTTATATACTTAAATATTATAAATGGCCAACTTTCTCCCATTCTCCCAACTTTGCAAATTCTTTTGTCTGCTATGTTGAAAGTTTTGGTACATGTGGAGTTTACTTTTGTTAATAAGGTACCATATCTTGAATAAGAAACAAATAAAGCAATAATATTAAAAAATAATAATCGTTTTCTAAAATAAAGCAATGTTAAAAGACAGAAAACGTAAAATATAAAGTTCATGAAATAAAGATGAAGCTTCATTAAAAGAATAATAAGGTGATATATTGGAATAGTGATGCAACATGTTTGGGCTATTTGGTATTTGGGAAATGGAACTGAAAGCATTGAGTGACAATTCAATTGGTTGGGCTTCTCCCAGTTATTAATGGGATGGCCAACACATTTATCTTCGGACCAAAACAACTTTCTGTCCCAATCCCCTACCGTAACCAATTAATGTTTTTTTAATATATATTTTTAATTATATTTCTTTTATTGTAAGTAATTTTATTTAAATCGAATAGAATTACTATAAACAAACTCTTCAATAAAAATATTATAATATTTTTTATTTTTAATGACCAAAAGATACTTTCTGGTTGACTATGGACTGTTTTATTTTCTCTGCCTACCATTAATTGTTCAAGTGTAAAAGTTTGGAAGGGTTAAATCAACGATTTATAAATTTATTATATGAATTTGCATAAAAAATGTGAATTAATTAATTAAACTATAAATCTGAACGTATGTTAAACTTGATTATCATTATTTTATATATTTTTTAATAACATGCGTGTTATTTACTAAACTTGAAAAGAACGTAATTAAAGTTTAATGTTAGTAAATGGTCATAGTATTCATTAATTAGAATAATGGTATATATAAATTTAATTTAATTATTATAAAATTAATAATCTTAATTAATACGATAATTCAGAGTTTAATAATAATATATATTTTTATATTGATGTATTTCAATTAATTTTATTAATTACATGTTCGGATAAGTCATTTGTTGCGAATAGAAATGTTGAATATGACATTAATAAGTTGTCAATTTCAAATATTTATATATTTGATACCGATGCAAACTAAATTCATTATAAATTTTTTATTTTTCATATATCGTCATCGGTTGACAAGTGACAATTTTTATATATTATAAATTTTTAATTATTCATACAACTATTTGTTGTGAAACTCCTATATTTAGTGCGTGCACACATTCTTTTTTTAGTTTCTTAAAATGGCCCATTTCGTAAACTGTTCTATTAAAGTGATGAGAAATTTATGCAAGCGAAGAGTGGAGCAAAAGTAGGGTAATATAATTGAGTTTTAATTTGAAAAAATTTAAAAAAATACGTTTCATTTTTACATAAACGTTCATTATATTTTAATAATATTAGAAACTAATGCATAATTTATATAAAATCAATATGGATTAAAAAATAATAAAAACTTTTTTTTTTTACTTATTTTTAACTCTTTTATTAAGATATTATATTACTTATCCCTTGCCCCCTTCCCCTTCTCAATCCTATCTTTCATAAATAGACACACCATGTGATATACGAATCATTTTCCAAGAAATTAAATCATGCACCAAATTAATACCCAGCTAAGAGATCAACATTCTTTAATCCCTTGTGAAACTCCTAAGCAATAAAGTACATTAATAGATATAACTCATGCCATAAGGTATGAGCAATGATATGATATATCCTATGGTTTCAACACTAACAAATATCAAAGTCACAATTGAATTAAACATCAGATTTCTTCATCAGAGAATTACTAACATTGAGTGAGGCCCTGCAAAGAGGGCAACTAGGATGTGCACGAAGCCACATATCCAAGCACTCAGAATGGTAGGCATGTTGACATTGGGTTAACACCTTCAACCTTTCACCATCTTGGAAAAGACTCAAACATATACAACATTCTTTCTTCTCAAACCCTTCATCAACCTTGGTAGTTGTAGATGAAAACAAAGTGTTGTTGGTGAAATCAACTCTTACCTTTTGATGATCATGGAGGGGAGAGAGCGTTGTGGTGGCTGCGGAGTTATGTTGTTGTGAGAAGCGACGGTGACATAAGAGGACACATAGGAAAAATGAAGGGACAAAAATGAGAATGGCAATAAACCATAGTAATAGGAACAGACCTTGGCCATAGGAGTGAAAGTTTGAACCCTTTAGATTAATAAAATGGTAGTGATGTTCAGAGGACATTTCTGAGTGGTGGAATGGTATGAGATTGTTGAAGAGTGAAAATGAAAGCTGTGCAGAGAGAGTTTGGTTAAAAAGTTATATTGGAAATTAATAGTATAAGATAAGCTTATGACCATACCGTGCAGGAAGTAGTTGCCCACAAAGAATGTAGAGCATGCATCATGAGTCCTGTGGATGGTAGTTGTGAGCATTTGTTATAATAAACCCTCTTTTACCTGAAGGAAATAGGACCAGTCTATTTCTAACTGACATAGAAAGAAGAGATAAAAAAATCAAATCAAAGCATCTTCAGTTTCTTCGATATACTAAATATTTAATCTTCTTTTGTTTGTATGCAAAACATAGAGTTAAATATGCTTTAACTCTTTTTTGTTTCTCTAAGATTATAATTTCACTCTCTCAGGACGTTACCTGATAAAAAGTTACATTGATACTCTCTTAATTAGTCTCATCATTACTAAGAACTAAAACCTTTAAAATTAAGATATATATATATATATATATATATATATATATATATATGAATATAATATAAACTAAGACTATATTTAAATCTAAAAAGTATATTGTAGTATTAATTTTGTAAATTCAAATTAATTTTAAAAATTCAATCATTTAAGATCTTGATTTATACCCAAGGATGGAAATGTATTTAAGTCGGACGTATTTTGATTAAAGAGACTTTACAAAAATTAATTTACTTAACTCATTTAGTAAATAGGTTTAATCTGACAAATGCCTTATATAGAGTATGTAACAAGTCTTTAACAAGCAACCTTACTTACTTTTACTTTTTATTGTACATTAATATTAAATAAAATAATAATATTTATAGAAAAGTATGTTTTATGAAGAAAATTTCCTGCATTTAATAATCATTTATATTGATGTTTGTTTAAATTGTTTACATTATTGTCGGATAATATATTAACGCGTCATTAAAAATGTTTGAGCTTTCTTTTAAGATAATGATTGTGTAAGATAAGTTTCTAAGAGAAATGATAGCAATGTAACGTATAATTTATAATTTAAAAATAGAAACATTAATTTAGGAGTGACAAAAAGTGAGATTTGAATAAATAAAAAAATGTGAAAAAAAGTGTTAAAGAGAGTGTTGCTGCCATTTCTCAATTTTTAATAAATTTATTAAAAAATATATTTGTAAAAAAAATATGTTTTATGAAAAAAAATTTATTGCATTTAATAATTTTTTATACTTCTGTTTAAATTTTCTATATTATTATCAAATTGTATCATTAAAAATGTTTAAATTTTTTTCAAATCAAATTAATCTTCAAGAAGGATGTTAGTAATACATTTTTTAACACATTATTTATTATTAATTAAAATTTATTAAAAATTATAAAAGTATGAGATAGAAACATTATTTTTGGAGTTAAAAAAATAAAATTTATATTTTTTATAATTTTTAACCAAAAATAAAAAGTATGTTGGAAAGTATACTGCTAATATTTCTTTATTTTTAATAATTTAAAAATATCTTTCAATTTTTAATAAATTTATTGAAATTTATATTTATAGAAACGTATGTTTTATGAAAAAAATTAACTGCATTTAATAATCATTGATACGTTTGTTTAAATTTTCTACATTATTGTCAAATAATATATTAATACATCATTAAAAATGTTTGAGCTCTTTTCTAAAAAATGAATGTGCTAATTTAATTCTCTAACACATTTACTGTAAGCTGAACTTTATTAAAAATTATAAAAGTATCAAATAGAAATATTAATTTAGGAATAAGAAAAAAGTGGAACACGTGTATTTTTTTATAAATTTTAGTCAATAATAAAAATTATGTCAGAGAATGTGTTGCTACTATTTTTCAATTTTAATAATTTAAAAGATTTTTTTAATCACACTTTTTACTATCTACTAACATTTATAAAAAATCATATTAGTCTTACTTTTTTTCACTTCTATATTTATATTTTTTATATTTTTATAATTCTAATAATTTTTAATTAATAAAAATATATATTAAAAAGTATGCTGCTATTATTTTTCAATTTTTAATAATTAATAAGAATGAGATAATTTTATAAAAAGATGTAGAATGACGAGAAATCTATCAAGTGTATATTATATTTGGTGAATGAAACTTTCGTTCCTCATTTCTATCAATTGGTATACTAATTGTAACGTATGGGCATTAGAAAATTTGGTCAATGGGTGAGTATGGTTGGGCCACTGAACCACTTGAACTAGAACTACAGCTCAGGGCTTCTAACTGCTTAAATTTATGATGGATACTTTTTATTATTTAATAAAATTACCTAATTTTATTAAATAAAAAGATGTTACTGACACTGTTTAAATTTTTGTTTCAACGTATGCTTAATTATTAAATAATATTTATTAAAATAAAAACATATTAAATTATGAGTAAAAAAAGAATAAAACACATAATTTAATAGTTTTTAATAAATTTTAGTAAGTATATTAAAAATGTGTGTTATTAAAAATAAAAATATCTCATCAATAATAATTTTTTATGGAAACATATTTATGATACATAGTTACGAAATTGTTTATTGAATTTTTTTTTATAGTATATATTAATGCATTGATATTTTAAAAAATTATACATCTTCTGATTTTTTTTATAAGAAACAAAATGAAGCATTATTTTAGTCTCTAGTATAAAAAATAAATGATAAATTTAAAATATATTAATTATTAATTTTTTTATACTTTTTTATCAGTATGATAAATATACAAATTATTAATTATATTATTTAATATTATAAATATTTTTGAAATAAAATTTATATTTATAAAAAATATAACAGATTTAATTGCTTTTTTTTTATTTTAATAATTTAAATTTTTGTTTTTTATAAAAAAGATGGGAAGGAAGTAGCATATTTTGAAGACTTGCACAAGTCACGGATACACTGCTGGCTGTGGTAGCTGTTTAGACGTAGTTATAGTTAGGTCACTAGTAACCGACCATTTTATTAAATTGCTCTGAAATTTCATTGGAAATTTTATCATCCAATAACTTGGTGGACTTGGATCACCAATTTTCCAATCCTATGATTCTCAATTATTTACAAATTATTAATATCAGAAATGTTATCGACACGTTTTTTTATTATTAATTAAAATTTATTACAACTAAAAAATATAAAAATATATTAATTTAAGAATAAAAAAGAAAGAATAAGACGTATATAATTTTTAATAAATTTTAATCAAATAATAAAGATATATTATAAAAATGTGTCAAAAATTACATTACTGATCTTGCTCCTTTCAGCTTTAATGGGATTCACAGCCACAGTATAGAAAAAGAAAAGAAAGAGTAGTATTACAAAGTAAGAATCCAAGAGTAGGTAGATATACAAACACTTTTATTATTCTTTAAGTGTGATTTAGAATTAGATTTCAAAGGAAGGGTAGATTTTTTTTTTAATTAATAATTTTTAAATTTTATAACTTTTCGAAATTAAAGTTCTAAAACTGTTTATCAGTATAAATTTAATATTATATATTAATTAATTAATTAATTTTATAAATATTACATAATTAAATTTAAAAATAAAATATTTTTTCTCCCAAAATTTAGCTATCACATATTTAAACCTTTAAATATGTTTTAATATCTCCATAGTTTATGAGATTTTGGTTTGAGTTTTTAATTCTTATTTAAACTTAAATTTTATAAATTCAACATTTATTTGTCTTTTTCATTAATACAGTGTAACAAAAAATTAGCATTAGACAATCTCTTAGTTACTTAAATTGTTATTAAGGACAAAAAAATTTGAATATTAAAAATTGAAGAACTTAAACTTGAACAAAAAAAAATTTAAGATGTTAAAATCAAATTTTCATAAAAATATAAGAAAAAGTATTTAAACCTTTTCAATAAACACACGATACAACCTCTAAATTTTATATATTTTTTAAAATAAATATTTTATTTTTCATCTAAATTAAACTCTTACAATTGTTAACTGCAGTGATCGTGATGGAAAATCAATAGTGCTGATGTACTGGGTAAAGATGATAGCAAAGTAATGATGAGTGTTCGAATTATTTTAGTGACAACATGAAAAGGAACTTAAAATCTTAAACTATGTATAAAATGTAATTTTAGTAAGAATCAAAACATTTAACATTGTTTGCTTAAATAGATTTTGCATAGATTGAATTTAGGTGGATATAATTCACCTTAAAAGAAAAAAAAAAGTTGGTTCGATGTTTTATTCATTTGTAAAAAGAAAATAAAAGCATATGTGAAACTGAGTAAAAACTTACTTCAAAGGCCAAGATTCGGGTGGAAGAGGACTTGAGGTTTTAATTTTTTTAAGTATTTTGTTAAATATAATTTTAAAAATAATATAAAAATGCTAAGAATAATATAATTTTTATTTGGTTGGGTGTTTGTAAACTAAATTTTATAAAATTAATTTTAATTAAAATAAATTTAAAATAAAGTAATTTATATTTGATTTTTTAAAAAAGTAACTTTATAATAAAATTTTAATATAAAAGTTTTACTTTACACAAAAACTATAATTTATTATATTAATTTAAAGACAAAATTAATGTTTCCTTTCTTTAACTTTAAAGTAACTTTGAATTTTGTCTTTTATTTTATCAATTTTAGTTCTCTAACTTATAGAAATATTTTAAATAATTTTTTAAAAAAAAAATACTAACTTCATTAAAAAAAAATTATTATTTTTTTATTATATGTATTGTGTGACTATTGTTTTTTTTTTTTCAAATCTTCGATGTGTCTCTTCCAACACTTCATCTTCCTTATCCATTTCATGTTTATCTTTTTATTCATTTTCATCTTATTCTCTTTTCTTTTTCTTTTTTTTTTCTTGCCAATTCACCCATTCACAAGTTACCTATACATTTAGGGAAGTGTCATCATTAAGAATGTCTTTGAAAAGCTAAAGCAGAAGACCTTCTTCCTAAGACTTGATTAAACACTAATAATTTTTTTTAAGAAATTGTACCCTTCTTAAAACTTTCTCATGGGAGATTTTAATATCTTTCCTTTTTTTGTAATAAATATATTGGTTTAAAAATATTACTTTTGCATAAGTGATTCATATTTAAATTTGAGTCGTTGATAGAAGTAGTATAAAAATAGATTGCTAAGATTAAAAGTTAAAAATGTTAATAAATATGAAAAGAAGTTATAAGTGAGATAGATGAAGAAAGATAATAAGGTAAAATTGATATTTTGGATTATGTATAAATCAATCTGTATAACATAAAATATGCGTAAAACTTTAAAATTTTCTGCATAAATCAATCAAGATAGACTAACACATGAGTGTTTTTAAATTTTTTGCGTAATTTTGAAATTGTATGTAATTAAGTCTAATTTATCATCCTTAAAATTTAAATATACCAACATGTATTTATGAAAATGAAATTACATAGAGATGAAAATGTGGTCTTTCCTCGTCAGAACTATTCCACACGCAGAAGAAGCTTAATGGTAAAGCATATTCCCAGGCTAAGGTTGAGAGGAATGAGGCAACTCACTTGCTTACTTGAGTTCTGAAAGTACCGATTTCCTGATCTCAGAAAAGTATCAGATCTACTTTCTATTTGTTTGAATTGTCCTGATATCAAGACTTTATCGAAATGAATTAAGTAATGAAACGCTATGTTCATATTCTGAACCATTCGCTACGTGGTCTTCCCTCGTTCTCTTTTGTGACTTCTACCGCTATTTCCTCTAAATCGCATGCACTCCCTTATCAATTAAAACTGGATTTCAATTTGTATAACAAAAAACAGGTTGAGATATGGCTGGAAAAATCTCACTGGAAAGAAAAAGACCTCTAACAAAACTAAGAAGAAGATGAAATATGGAAAAAAAAGTAAAAATGAAGAAGATGCAGAAAATATTTTTTTAAAAAAAAAATTACAACTTTTTACATTGGTTCTTAGAGAGAACTGATGTAAAAAGTTATTCTTGTTTATGTAACTATTTCTACATTGGTTCTCTCACAGAACTAGTGTAAAAAGTTATCTTTTTATATAGTAATACTTTTACATCAGTTATGTTGTCCAACCGATGTAAAAGACCTCAACCTCAACATAAACTTGGATAAATTGTACATCAGTTTAATTCTATAACTGACGTAAAAATCTTTATGTACAATTTTAAAAGAATGTAATACATGACACTAGATATGTCCTATAGGCATTGTTAAATGATGAAAGCGTGAATTTGTATGCATTACCATTTTTGAAACCTTAGTTCATATCACATTTTATTGCATTGGTACACCGTAAATGGCTCCATCTTCACAGAAGAAAGGTAGAAGTGCGGAAACTATTCTACCATTGATGAACATTGTCTTTTTTTGTTTTTATTTTAAAAATTTTTTTGTAAACTATTGTATCTATATTGCCCAAATCTTTTACTTTACTCACCTAGTGAGTTCATGAAACTTTTGAAAAACGCAGTGCACTTAGGTAAATAAAAAACGAGATGAGAACAGAGGTTAAATAAGCATCCCACACCCAAAAGATGCCCCATATAAGTCTTCTCCAAAACCCCCCCCAGTAACTAAGGTAAATAACGTAAGAAAAACACTTATTTCTATACTGATTTCGGAAGAGAGATGAAAAGGGGATGTTTTGTTTATGAGAATAAGAAAGTATTTATAGCTATAGCAATATAAACAAGAATACTCACATGTGCCGTAGGAACATGTACATAGAAAATACGAGAATTTTCACCTTGCTGAAGATAGGAAGGTTTTACAATGACCACAATATTGAAAGGGCATTAACATCATATTACCATACATTTGATGTAGATATGTTTATGAGTTAAGTTGTAAACGGTGCATGTTTTATAACATCAGTTATGCACACAACTGATGCAAATATAGTGTAATAGTAAATTATAAAAGGTGTACATTTTATTACATCGGTTCACCCACACAACTGATGCAAATATAGTGCAATAATAAATTGTAAAAAGTGCGCATTTTATGACATCAGTTCACCCACACAACTGATGTAAATATGTTTATGACTTAATTATTAAAGGTCCTTATTTTTTGGCATTAGTTAAGCAAGCAACCGATGCAAATATCTGCGACACATTTGTTAAACTCTGTCTACAATTTAACATCTTTTAACTATCGAACCATTATAAAAACTATAAAATATTCATTTTTTTTTCATATTTGTGACCTGCATAACCAATTTCATTGTAGTAATACAATTATCTCCTTATTGAGAAAGGCTAAGAACACAACTCATTACATTTTGTACTACTGCACAGTATACAATCGTTATAAATATGCAACCCAAATATCTATTTTTAATATACACTACATTAATATTAATAAACTCATTGCAACTCACTGATGTTGAAATATTTTTCTTCCAAAACATTAATTTCTACAATGAATTTTAAATCTACCCGATGCTCATAGTGATTAACCCATCAAAATATCTTTACTTTTTACATTGAATCTTCACAACCTGATGTTATTTTTATCTTAAACTTAACTTTATACATAGTTAGTATTTGAAATTTCATGTTTTTAACATTGTAAACGCTCAACACCTGTTGTTCTGTTATACAATTATCGTTATAAATTAAACTCTCAACATCCGATTTTTAATAAACTCGATATATATATATATATATATATATATATATATGACCTTTATATATCAAAATAACAGAAGTTGAATATTTATAATATAGAGTTGAATAAACTGGTCTTTTTACCGCTAAAGATGAAGAGAACCAACAAGAAGAGGAAGAAAACATGAAAAAAGAATAAAAATATGAAATTATCAATGTATCCTTTCAAAAATCTAACTTAAATAACTGATATCATGTAATCCATTTTTAATCACTCGATTAAAATCAATGGTCCATAATGTATAATTATTTTTACAAAAGTTTTCTTTCTCTTACTTTTTACAAAAGAAGTGAGGATATTAGAATCCACCTTTTCTCATCTCTAACTCCAATTGTAACTTTAAAAATTTTGAGTCTTTTGCTTAAGATAAAAAAGTATGGAATATGCTAAAGGTTCGCTTTATAGTTGTAACAAGAGTTAGGTTGAAAGGCCTATTTTGTTTTTATTTATTTTTATGTAAACTCCAATAAAGAAATGATTATTGTAAAATAAGAAAAATTAAGTTTATATATTATTTCAAAAGAAACTTTTAAGCAGCTACTTTCAATAGACATTTAGTAACAAATTTGAAAACAGAGAAAAATAAAGAAGAATAAGAAAAACATGAAATAAAAAGATCAAGATAAAAGGAAGGAAGAAGATGATAAAATGAAAGAGACACAGTTAAAAATATGAAGAAAATAATGACCAATATCTATAAAGTATATGTGATAGAAGATATTTAGTGTTTTTAATGAAAAAAAAAGTTATTTAAAACATTTTTTTGAAGTTAAAAGATTAAAATAAATTCAAAAAAAGGTAGAGAAAGCTTGTTTTAAAGTTATAAGACAAAAAGACTAATTTTACTTAATTTAAATAATTTTTAAAAAATTATTATAAAATTATCAAATAATTTTACGTAAATTCAAAATTACAGTAACATCTTCAAAGGTAATACTAGAACTTCTTAAAACATATTCAAACATGCTATGAACTTTTATGGCATGAATTTTTTCCTTGCTCTCATAAAAGTTGGAACAACTAATTCATTTTCTTTAATATTAATTTTGATTATTTAGAGTAAGAGTTGAAGATAAGCAACTAAATATTATATATATATATATATAAATTCTATTTATTGATGCTTTAACTTAATTCAAAAAGACGATATAAAAAAAACAACTCTTTTCTTTAAGTATATTTTATTCAAATAAACTAATAAATTTTGAGTTTATTAATTAAATCCAATAAAGCGATAATCAAACAACAATTTCCAAACCGAGAGAAGGTGGATGATAATAAAGAAAACACAAGAAAAGAACAAAACAAGTTACTTTATATAAGATATAGATCAGCACCACTTTAAATCATAGGTTTGGTTCCAGTCAAATTAAAAGGCACATAGTGGAACCAACTTACTTTCAACAAAGTTCGAAAGAAATAAAAGTGCAACAAGAAAAGGGGTTTTAGTACAAAATAATGACACTTCATAATTTCATTGACAAAGAATGCCACAAACAATACTCCACTAGCTAGGCCTAGGATGGAGTGGCACAGAGTTTTTCTGCTATTTTTAAAGATAATTAGTGCAATCACTTTTTACCTTGACGCTTTTTTTTTAATCTCATTAGAGATAGCTTAATTGGGAAAGTGAACAAGGAAAGTAGGGTGCCCACCTAATTTCAAAATTGCCTTAATTTGATTTCCACTACACACATTATATCTTGTGGGTAGAAGTTCTTTTTTATTTTTTACACTTGCACCAAATTCTTTCACTAATAACCTCTGTATTTAGCACTAGCACATTAATTGAACACAAGACAAAATGTTCAGGCCCAAAGCGCGAGGACAGACATTGCAGCAGAGCCAAGAGTTAATGCAATAAAAGACACCTTTTTCAACCACATATTGGAATTCATAAGCTTGTTATGAAAAAAATCAACTGCTATAAGGTCAACAAGAGCCATGTAAATTAGTATCCCAGAAGAAACTGAACCTAGTAACCCTTCCATTATCAAGGCATTAGGGTTACTATCATCATAACCAGTGATTGAGAATAACACCATCCCCAAAATTATCCCCATTGGTGTGGTCACTGAAAACATGAAGCACATGTACGCCATTGTTCCAAAGTTAAACCCGGCCTGCAATTGTGAGTACCATACACACACAAAGATACCAATCAACATCATCTTTTGTCACGAGACATAATATTAACAAGTTACCTACAAATAAATGTATCCACATAAACAATAGTTCATTAATAAATGCACTTTGTATTAGTTCATGGATTAATTTGAGGGAGCCATAAATTTTTTCTGGATAAGTCGAAGTCATGAAATTAAAGAACCCATCAATAAATACAGAAGTTTGTATATAATAATTTCAGCTTATATGACAAAAAAAAATGTAATAGCTATCTAGAGGATGCTTGTTTTGGTTGTAATTTGTACTGAGTATAAAAAACACAAATATTTTCTTATATAGTCTACGTCATGATATTAATTTCTGATCAAATATATAAATCAAACTATCAATGCTCTTCAAGCTAGAAACATATATAAGTTAAAATTATGGTTTAAAACCAAATTTCCCTGCAATAAATTAAATAAAATCCAAACACACATGCACCGAATATTAATTTTCCAAACTAGTTTATGTCATAATGTTGTATTGTATAATAGAACGCGAACTATGGTAGGGAACATAATAGTTTTATGAACTAGCTTGTGTGTATTTTGAATTAGTTTACAGTATTGATTTATCAAATATTTAACTTATGTAATAAATATTATACTTTTTAATTTAAAAAAACACATTATTTTTATATGCTTAAATTCAATCTTTTTAAGTTAAGATTAACAGAATCATATTATAGAAACATAAAAGAAGTAACCTGGGCAATGCAGCCACCAAGACCCATGCCTTCAAAAATCTGATGAAATGCCAAAGCAGCAACGAGGGGGCGAATGGTGCAAACATTCTGAGACATTCCCATGGTGACTCCTATAATGACTGAGTGAAAGATGATCCCAATCTCCAACACTTGTGACACCAATCTTTGCTTCAACCGAGCCAACTCTTCAACCCTCTCGCTGTCACTATCATCGCCGCCGCCGCCGCCGCCGCCTACAAATTCCATTCTCCACTCATCCTCCTTCTCTTCTGCCTCCATTGCCGCATAGTGCGCATGCTCCACGTGTGAGCTTGCCACGGCGTCCACCACCAGCGCCATCAGAGCCCCACCGAGGGTCACCTATTAATAGAACAGTAACAAAAATTTAATCCTAATAGCTATTATATATCTTTGGTTGTATATAATTTAAAGTCATAAATTTATACTTTATTTCATAAACACTATAGTATTCAATAATCAAATTGATATATTATATATTAAATAAATAAAAATAATTCTTTTCATAAATAAAAAGTGGCTAATATATTAACACAAATCGTAAAAGAAATAAGAATATAAAATTTTTGTAATTAATACATCTAAAAAGTATTTTTATTTTTTATATTTAAGATAAAAATTAATAATTATTTTTTATTAAAGTAATTTCTTTATGTTTTAAAAATTAAGATGATATTCTATACTAAATTAATCATAATCATCAATAGATAATGAAAAATAATGATCTATCTTAAGATATAAATATCTTTTAATTACCGAAACAAACACCTTTTTATTAATACTACAAAGATGAGAAGGAAGAAGAAATACCAAGCCCGCAAAAGGGAAATCCTTCCAAGGGTGCCGTGATGCCACCTGACAATCAGAGAGTGCAGCAAATGCATCAGGCAACACATGGACCAATGAAGTGGCGAGAATAACACCGGCCGCGAAGCATTTGATCACCAAAATCGCCATATCATAAAGAGACTTTCCTTGAAAGTATCGTGCTAGCATCACTGGTAACGATACACCCGCCATGCTAGTCACAAAAATTGTAAAGACAGAGACTACTTTTAAATGCGATGCCGCCACACTGTCTCGACATGCGGCGGCACGAGCAATGTCCGTCACACATGCCGCCATTGCGTGGATGAAGAGTTAACGTTGATGGAGTATTTCAAACGGTGTGTTGAAGGGCTTGAGGTGAAATGAAATGAAGCGCACTGGTTTTGAGTTTGGGTATTGTATCTTTTGAATGTAGTGAATAGGTCACATGCATGCATGCGTGGTCATGAAGGTTGTTTTCTATTGGTAGTTGCTTTGGTGTGCTGCGTCTGAAATCCATCCACAAAGTTTGTGGAAATGCATATATCATTTCTATTCATACACTGTTTAACGTTCAAACTTTTCTCTCAGCATTTTTAAAGTTACACGTAAAGGGGGAGATGACCAAAGTTATTTTAGGTGTTAGTTACACTATACACTGATGTTGCTGCGTCTCGTCATGTTTTCTAAGCAAAGAATAATTTTAAATGCTTTAATATTTGCTTTTATAAACATTTTAATTATTATATATTTTTTTAGATTTTTAAAAAGATAACAATGAATGTATTTTTATTTAGTGTTTATTTTATAAAATAAAAACTTATTAAAATAATGAATATTATACATTATGTGATAAAAAAAAGTAAATATATAAGATAAATACAAAAATTAACAGTGAAAAGAAAATTCAAAAGTGTGTATATATAATTCTCATCTTGTGATCTTGAATTAGAGGTTGTTTATTCTATAATTATTAAATATTACAGCGTTGAATTAATATTTGTATCAAATGGTGTTTTTTTATTTATTTTTTTAGACTATGAATATCTTTCACATAAAATAATTATACTTAAATCGATTACTAAATATGATAAAATGATAGGATCCTCTGAAGAAAACATGAAATTCTGGTGTTAGTGAGCCTCTAGCATGGTGTGGTGCATTCAAGGTTTTAGTGCAAAGTTAGCCAACTTAGGCATTAAAACTGCAAAATGTGATAAAATACTTTGATTGGAAGGTCTGAGAGTTGAGTCTGATAATAAAAGTACGAGATTTTAATATGAAGCTTAGATATAATATCTTGAGTTCTCTAACTTATAAAATTTAGCTTTATAAACATTTAATACAATTTGATATTTAAGACTTAAATTTGAGATCATATACTCGTTAAGTTAGAAGGATTATATATACAAACATCTAGAGAGGTTCTTTTTTACTTTCACTCTCTTCAACTTATTACTTTTAGAAAATATTTTAAAATAAAACTATATATATATATATATATATATATATATATAACATTATTGGTGGAAGGAACCATAGATTGTTTCAACAAGAAGCCATTCTGATTTTATAACCTTGGAAGAAGCAACAGAATAGAGATATTCATATTAGCAATAATGTTTCCCCAGAAAAATACCATTAATATTCTCTCTCTCCAATATACTTTCTATTATAAACTAAAATTTATTAAAAATCATATAAATTTTACCTTTTTTTACTCTTAAATTAATAATTTTTTATTTTTATAATTTTTAATAAATTTTAATTAATAAAAAAATATTAAAAAATATGTTGCTAAGGTTTCTCCCGTCTCCGTACTGATAGGCATCAACGCCAAGTAAAATAATAAAAGTTTTTCATTTTTAGTTTTGCTTTGATTGTATGGCATTGCTCTTACTATTTTTAGTATTTACATATTGCTGTTCGGAGAGCATTCCTCTTCGCATATTCTATATTATTAAATACATGTTTGGATAACTTTTTTTTTGATAAATTAATCACTTATTTTTTACATTTTTATAAGACAATTATTAAAAAAATAAAAAATTATTTTACTAAAAATAATCTCATCTAAACATGCATTAACATTAAGTTAACACTTAAAAATAGATTAGCTGATCCGACATTGGTACCACTCATTTAACAAACTTAGCCTGCTTAATTTTGCCATTGTCTATAAAAAATTCAACTAAATTAATGATTTTAATTTCTCTAATTATTAATTTTTACTATCTATTAGACATATTAAATATTAAATTGACAGTAATAAATTCGTCACTAGCATTTTTAAGGAAAAAAGTGTTAGTTATGGTAAACGATTTTTCTTTCCTTTTATAAAAGCATCAACATTAAAGCTGTTTTTTTTATTCTTTCTATTTCTCTTTTTTTTTTCAGGTGCATGTGCCCATATAGTTATATTGGGCCGAAGCATGTCCATTTTATATCTTTACTCGCTTGATCGTACAAAATTGGGCTTGTCCCACATTGTATGCAGTTTTGGGCTGTTGTGCTTCTTATTCAAAGGATGATTGACCAAAAAATAAAATAAAATATTGGACAAAAAAGTTATTAATATCAAAATTTAAGATGTTTTTAAGATCCAATCCGAAATTGATTAAAGTAAATAAAAAATGTTAAAAAATAGTATACTTTATAATTATAATATAATAAATACTTTATATTATTTTTAAAATTTTATTTGCATAAAATAAATGTTAATCTTAACAACCCAAAAAATAAAAATAAAAATCTACAACATAAAATGTTTCAGCTCATTGTTTCCTTGTGACCCAGAATATTTTTGGTACAGGTACATTTGGTCAGATATATCAATCCTGAATTCTTTTGTCATCTACCCTCAAGCCAAACTAGTTCAGTTTTACTATCCTACCCTCAAACATGAAAGCAATTTCTTAGTCTTGTCTGTCTTCAACTTTATTTGGTATCAATCACTTTTTAAATTATATGCAAGCTCAATGATTTTAACATTAATAACATAAAAACAAACATAAACAAACTTAATATTTATAACATACAAACAAGTTTAGAGGTCCAATTCACAACATCTAAGCCCACTTTAACTAATTTTCAAAGGTACATAACTTCTTTGCATATAGCTAATATAACATGTAAACTAGACGATTAACACTTAGAACATGAGCTTTTGTAACTATCTAGCATACATAAATCTCACTCTAACACATAATTCTAAAGTGAGACAAAAGCCATTATCACTACTCTGATTCCGAAACCACACACCTGCAGGAGGCAAACAAAAGAAAGATAATAGCCAAAAAAGAAATGACTAAAACAAGTGTTAGCTCTGATTTTAAAAATAGAAGAAACATGGCTAAATCAAATGGCATAGTAGCTTTTAATTTTATGATAAAAGAAAGTAAATTTTTTTTCACATAGTAAACAAAAAATAAGATCACCACTGACATAATCATACAAACATAACAGCAAAAATCACATAACTCTACATATAATTATGAAGTAAAAAGAATCCTTACCCTAACTTAAAAAAAGTAGATCATCTTAATCATCGTCACTCCAGCCACCATGATCACATTCAAAGCCGTATCCACAGCCATCATCATCATCATCATAGCCGTATTCATTGTCACTGTTGTGGTTATGACCAAGCTCATAACCACCGTTATACTCAGATATATCATCACTATCGTCAGATTGACCCTCCTTGTTGCTGTCTTGATCATTGTAACCTTGACCACGTTTACTACTTTGGCTGTATCCACAACCATGCTCAAACCCATGTTCATAACCACTGTCATAGCCATCCTCATAGCCTTTTTCATACCCTTTTTCAAATCCACTACCATTTTCATGGCTTTTCTCTTGCTCTTTCATCTTCTCATTATAGTTCCCTTCCTTCTTCTCTCCTTTGTTTTCCTCATGGTTCTTACCCTTGTGCACCTCATGGCTCTTATCCTTGTGATCCTCATGGCGTGACCCTCCCACATGCTTGTAATCATCATCATCATCATCCCACCATGGACATGCCATTGTTTCAGAGTTTTGATATCAAATACTATAAAGGAGAAAGCGAATGATAACTACGATGGAAGGATATAAAGTACTATCATTCAACCTTAGGAGGTAAAAATACAAAAATACCAAGTCCCCTGTGTCACAGTACTCACCTCTATGCATAAAAAACAAAAGGTGTCATTTCACATCACTTTCTTTTACTTCTTTTACACTCCTTCTACGTGTTAAAATGTACAGAGATATGAAAGAAATAGAGGAAGAGTAAAGGAAACTAATCGGATGCAAAGAGATACAGGAAAAAAAAAAAGGTGATGTGAAATAATTGAGTTTGTAATTTTTTACAAAAAATAATTATTTATTTTTTAAAAAGATTTCTAGATATTAACAAAAATAAGTAATTATTTGATTAATAACATAAATTAAAATAAACATGCAGTAAACAATTTATAATTTGAACACTTGTTTGGAGATTAAGAGCCTTTTAATTTAGTAAAAATGCTATGGAGAAGAGTAATTATAATTACAACCTACATTATTTTAGGGTGCTTTTATAAAACATAGCCTTGAAAAGGAAAGTCCTCACCTCTCTTGACATTTTATTACATATAACAAAGAGGTACAGAGAAGGCATAAAAAGGTTATCTCATGAAATGAATATCTTTTAAAAAATAGATTAGCTTAATTCAAATGAAAGCAAAGCACTCAAGTGAAGAAATGGAAATAAACCAAGCATATGCATCCGAAACTTACTAGATGTTTATTGAATTTCACGTTCACGTAAACTCCGAAACAGTCCATCATCAAGATAAACAAATTCTGGCTATAAACTCAAATCTCTTAAAACCAATTATACTGACTACTTAAAGGGTTTGGAAGTCTAGAAGAAACAGTTAAAACCATAACATGTCCCAAAACATGCAAAAAAAATTCTTAATCACCTCAAGTGCTTTGTATGATTACCACTACAAGTCTTTTAACCATCTTACTGAAAACCAAGATCTCCTTGAAGGAAATAAAGAGGATAGACTGAGAAGGAAGAAAACTTACCCTCTTAAGAAAATACTTGATTTCTTGGCTTCTTTGTATAACGTATTAGCATATATGAGTATTCATTGATGTACTGGGTAGCTCATGTTAATAGCATGTGATACAATGACCTTAAACACATGAATTGAAAGTTATCTCCTTTAATTTGAATGGATGCAGAGACACATATACATACACACAAAAATTGTTATTGTCGTAATTTTAAACATATTCTTAGTGTATAAAATAATAAAAAGGTGCTTCTATCCCTTTAACAGTGTGAAATGTAATAAAAAAATATAAGATAAAGAGATAAAAATAAAAAAATTATAAAAAATGAAAATCCACCTAGAAAATCAACGTTCATTCATGATCAGTACATTTCCTCTCCCCCTGTCCTTTTCTGCAGAGTCTCACTCAGAAACAGATTTGACCACCAAGGCGAAGACTGAATAAAACAGTTACGCCATACAAATGATAATCAGTGGCAAAACTCAGCAGTAAAGTTGAAATAGGATAGCTTATTTTAAAGTTTAGCTTAATTATGATAAATACAATTCTAGTAATGTAGATTACAATCATGTTTTAAGGAGGATGTTTTAAATTTCAGACGACACTTACAATTTATCCTCAAACACAATTATGATAAGGTGCTTTAAAAGATCGAAAAAAAGTTAAAATTGTTGATTAAAAAATTAACTATTAAAATGTTAATAACTTTGAAGTTTGTTATATATAATCATAATTCCAAGCATTAATGATTTAATCAACAATTATATTAGTATTTTATTATTTAAAGCACATTCTTTAGTCAAATATTGCTTTAGACCACTGAATCTAAAATTATTATCAATACAATCTTAAAGCATATATATGTTTCTTTTTTCTTTTTTGGTCAATATCAATTTTTCTACAACACAAGTATGTGTATGGTTTTTGTCTTGGGTCCATATGTATGGTTGAAGAATAGTTTATAACAATTCTCAATGCTTTATTTTTTTTTCTCTAGGGTCCATAATGCTCGGATAGGTGTTGTTGCTTTTGGGCTTGTGGCCCCTTTATGTCACCCAAAAACAAAAAGAGAGTCTACTTTTGAGCTTGAACCATGTAGGGTGCATTTTGACCAGAAAAAAAAAAACCATGTAGGGTGCATTTATTTTAAATCATAGATGATCCATATCCAATAATCTTACCTTAGCACATATGATATATCATATCCTTTCTTTTAACGACTTGGCGTAATTTTTCTGTTGTTCACAAAATTTCTTCTTTCAAAGTTTTAGAAAGATAAATTGCAAATATCAAGAAGATACTAGCAATGCTACTTTATTTTCGTATTCATTTTCATTATAGTTTAATTTTATTATACTTATGTTAAATCTATCAAACATAAAAAGTAGATGAAGTGAAATAAACCAAACAATAAAACAGGAGTGTTTTTTCCTTTCCATTCGCATTGTATTCCTTTTATTTTGGATTTTTAATTTCTTCTGCAAATTATTTTTTTCATTTTAATCCTTTTCAAATTAAATTTTTCTTGCCTAATCATCAAACTGTATAAACTAATCTGTAGAAATATATGGTATAAAAAATTTATTTGGGTTTCAAAAATATGTGATTATTAATACTTTAGTATAAATTAAAAAAAAATTATGTGGAATGTAAGAATTAGAACTATGAAAAAAAAACTCTATTTATTCCTTTATATTTGTTATTTCAAGATTTTATGCAAAAACTAAAGGATAAATCTAATGTTGTCATTTTAACACAAGAAAAAAAGTACTCCTAATAAACAATAAAAATGCTTTAAATTAATTGTGAAAAAAAAGGCTAAAAATTTATTGCTGACAAAACAATTGAGGAATCTACAACTTTTGAACCCTTTCCCTCATCCATTTTCTGTATTTAAAATTAACAAAATGATTTGCATTCCTTCAAGTTGCAATTAGAGGTCAATGGTTTTACACCATAATATATATAAACAGTTAATATCAAATATGTTCATGTTTGATTGGGAAATAAGTCATGGAATGTCTTTGAAGATAAGCATGGAAACAAAGTGAATGACATTTATGAATATTGAAAGCAGCATGCAAACAGAGTTAGCTTCACTTAATGACATAAAATTTGTGCAAAACAAGGTTGTTGATAGACCAAATCCATTTGACCGTTGCAACTCATGGATTCTGGTTTTCCAAGGAATGACCTTAAGTGATAAAGAAAAATGGTTAACAATACATTTCATAACATATTTTATCTCATTCTTAATTATTAATTAAAATTTATTAAAAATTCAAAAAATATATATGAGTTTCATTATAATTTAATAATTCTGTTATCTAATTTAATGTTTTTTTATATTTTTATAATTTTTAATAAATTTGAATTAATAATAACTAAAAATATAATAAAATTTGTGAAAGTAATTTATAATTGAAGTGGTCCTGTGGCTACTTGCTACTTTGAATGTCTCTTCAATTCCTCAACCACTAAATCCTTCAGTTTGGAAGAGCTTTCATTTTCAAGTCAGATATGAATATAGTAGATGGCCTCCGCAGCATCTATTGGTTTATATCATCGGAGTACTTTCAGCTCCCTATTTTCGAAGACAAGGAAGAACCATGCATGCCCTTGGCCTTTCAGAAATATGTCACTCTTATGAATATTACTTTTTGTAAAAGAAAATTATGAAAATATAAGAATTGCTACAGAATCGCACCATTTTCAATATATCATTGTATCCGAATGTAAACATATAAATGATGATTATAACTTTATGCGTAATAAGGATGTCATTTTTTTTTCAATAATTAAAGACTGTATGTATGATTTATTTGTTTGTCTGCTATTAACTTATAATTAACATTGGCATTCATAGAGTAATATTTTTTTTTCATAGGCATTTAAAAGAAAAAGTGAAGATAAAAGTATGAATGATCAATTTTTTAATTGACTTTAAGGGCGTTTGGTAGAAAGATTTTTTAAAAACTTTAATATGAAAATGTCAAATTTTTATTCTTATTGTAAATATTTTTAAAGAATATTTTTTGATATAATATTCTCATAGAGTAATAGAAAATAATTATTTTTTATAATTATCATTTATATTATATTACGTTAATATGATATTATTCATGAAGTTGGGTTTTAGTTACTACTACCCTTTTTTTGTGTCTACTAAAATTCGCATCGTTGTTATAGGTTGAAATTAAAATGTATCACAATTTATATTAGAGACGAATTATTTGTATAATACATTTATTTTAATACTTGTTAATAAAATTACAGTAATGACTTATTTAATAGTTATTATTATGGATAATATTTGTGAAGAAAGTGATAAGGTTCAATAATTAATGACAAATAATATTCTGTATTATATATATATATATATATATATATATATATATTATAATTTATATCTTTTACTATTCTATCGCACTATATTGATGCTAAATATTTTGAACTTGGGACTAAGTCCGGTTAAAGCTCTTCATTCTTTTTTTTTACAGAGATTATTGAATTTCAATTATAAAAATATACATTTTATAATGTAATTAAAAAAAATTATTTTTTATTAAAATGTTGACACTATAAAAAAAGGTCCATGGTATAAATGGAGCCAATTGATATCTCAATCCTTTTATTGGAACCTTCATGATTGCTATTGTGTGGTGGTGCTGAATAGAATTGGAAGAATTACAGAATCTTTCTAAATACAAATCCATTAACTTTATATGGTTCTAACCGAGAACAAGGTCCCTAGTTAACTAACATTTGCCTTAATGGTAAAAAGTGAAAAGCCAAGCCATGTCTCTTTTTTGTTTTTTCGGTTGATTCCAATGAGCCAGGGCATGCAACTTTACACCATCAACATTCCTCATGTGGTTAGGGACAATAATGCTCCAAAACAAATGAAGGAGAAACCAACCACTTGAGACTTGAAACACTTGATTTTTGTTTTCCTTTATCATGGACCAGTTGTTGTCTAACTCTGACTTGAATAGAATAATGGTTACTTTCATGATCTCATATAAAATGGCTCAAAATCTCTTTATTTATATTTTTTTTTTCAGTGATGACATGTTTTGGAGACCATATCTCGATGCGATGCGACAAAGTGAGGGAAGAGGGTCCAGCTCAAAATTTTACCTGAGGGGAAGGGACAAAGTTTGGACCACAAGGGAATTGAGTAGTCAGAGTCATGAGGCACAAGATGGAATTGCTAAGAAGGACACCAAAGTGTGGCACCTAAATTATGGATATCTTTTGAGATTTTGTGTCACCGATGTGAAAGGAACTAGAGAAAAACCCCCACCAGGAGAGAGAGAGATGGATGGACTTATCATACAATACATGAGGTGGGTTTTGGTTCTTAGACAAAGCTAAGGAAAGAAAAGAAAAGGGAAAAAAATTAAGGTCAAGATATTTTCTAAGCTTTTTTTTGTCCCCCTTTTATTACTTTTTTCTTCTTTTTTTTTTCTTTTTGAGATCATGCTTTAAACCTCTCTTGGGTCTACAAAAAGAGCCCTTTTTGGTGGGGTTTTGGTTAATTCATGGAACGTGTTTGTCCCTTCATTTTTCAAAGCCTTTATGCACCACAAGTCCTCCGGGCATGAGAGCAATTTCCAATGTGGTATATGATGATTGAGCTCATCTCTTCCTCCAACTTCAGTCACAATGATCTTGCAATTCTCATCCTTGGACTCAGCAGCCATGTTGTGCACAAACTGGCACAAGGCCCTTACCAGCTTCCCTGAGAATGGCCCTTCATGATACACCCCATACATAAAGTAGAACCCAAATGGGTTGAAGAAATCAGGTATGGTAGGCAATTTCAAACATGGGAAAATTTTATCAATCAACCACCAACTCTTTGTGCACAACAAGCAAGAAAAAGGTGCTTTCCCTAGCCTTAACTTAAATATTTCCCCACTGTTCCATACACTCAGCATAGCCCAACTGTGTGGGACTTGTCCATCTAACCCAAAATCACCCCAAGCAATATCCCCTTTGAAATAGGCCACCCATGTTCCCAAGCTTAGCTTATTCCTAAGTATGTTGCCTATGTCATTAGGGAAAAACTCTGTGGAGCCCATGAATCTTCTATAGAGGGATTCAGCTTGTTCAATCTTCAACCTTGCTATCTCAATGTTGGATGAGATTTGAAAACAATGATTGTTAACCGGGTTAACAAGAATAGATGGAGTCCTAAACTTGGTGTAGCCAAACTTTCCCATGAAGAGACTAACCGAGGCTTGGTTGTCTTTCTCTGTTGCCATGTATGCATAGTCCACATCTTTGGAAGTGAACCATTCTTCTAACCTTCTCACTAGGCTAGAACCAATCCCTTTTCTCCTATGATGAGGAGCAACCCTTAAGCCAAGAACATAACCCACCTTTGCCAAATCCTTTGGAGGATGACCATGAACCGTGACCACTTTTATAGAGCCTTGAATGACACCAACCAATTCATTGTCCAATTCTGCCACCTACCATCAAATTGAGGAGTTAGTGGTGGACATGATGATCAAACAAGAAGAATAAGAAACACCAAGAGAAATTTAAGTTTGAATTCACGTTAGAAGACTTATAAATGTAGATTCAATGCAAAAATTACAATTAGTAGCGTTGAAGTAAACGTAGATCCAATGACATTTAAACGTGAATTCATACATGCTACAAAATTGTGATCCATTAAAAGAAAGAAAAAGTTACAAGGGCATGAAGTTAGTGGCATAGTGTTGTATATCACTTACAAGCATCATGTACATGGGACTGTTTCGGATCCTACAAATGGGGTCACCCATAGTGTCTGTGAAGAGAAACACGCTTTCTGATGGGCCTACCTCACATCTTCTCTCAAGATCTTCCACTTGAGCCCTATCAGATTGCCCCTCATAGCTTCGGATTCTGAACTTGTTGAATTCCATTTCCAAGGAAGAGATTTAGATATCTAGAGAAGGAACTTGAAGGAGTTTGTTTATTTGATGTGTGCTTGAGTGGAATAAAAGTAAAAGGGACCTCAAAGCTTAAGAAGGTACACAAGATACAAATGGCAAGACAGTGCAACCAACGAGAAGTAATACAAGTACTACAAGAAGAATGGTTTGGCATAGACTTCATTATGATAATGATTTTATATGCAGTGGATACAAAGAAAAACTAAAAACAAAAAATACAATAAAAGAGAGGTGGTAAGAGAGAGAAAGAGTGAGAGAAGGAGAGAGATTGGAACTTGGGAGAATGTTCTTTATCAGAATCATCAATAACCTAGGCTTCAATAATAATAGTAGACAAAAGTTAGATTAATAATGGAATGTGTTTTTTGTCTCTAGCTTTTTGTGCCCACTCCTCGTATATATATATATGTTAAGGTAATGCTGTTCTTTTATATGTAAAACTTTCTCATATATCCATATTTTTTATCGCCAGTTTTCTTAATTACAGTCTTTAAAACTAAATTTCAGAATCTAAAATTATATTTTTTATTAAACAATAAAATATTTATTATATTAAAAATAAATAAAAAAATTGTTAGTATTTATTTAACTTTAATCTTAAAAATTAGGGGTTAATATTTTCTTTTATTTTATTATTATTTTCCTTCATCATTAATGTTTTATTATCTTTCAATTGAGTTGTGTGACTCAATTTATGTGAAGCATTATTTTTCTATAGCTTAATTAATCATGCATAAATTTATCAATTCTTATATTTTTATACTATTTGTTTACATGTAGTTTTTACTTTCTTCTTTATTTTTATCACATCATCCATTATTATTTTTTTTCTCTTTTCTCACTATTTCTTTATTTTCCTTACCTATCTAACGCCTAAAATATGGGTGTTAACGTATAATTTTCTTAAGTTTATTTATACTTATATCTCTACGTATCATCGCGTGTCTGTGTGTGGTTTTTGTGTGTATCTACGTTAGGTTAACCTCAGGCTCACGCACGCCACGGTGCACGCCTATGGATTTGTGTTTTCGTACTACGCTGACGCTGATTCGTTAGTCAATTCAATTGATTGCGAAACTATACACCAAATCTTGTCTATCCATTAGAAAGATAAATTACATTTTTCTTAAGAAATATTTCAATTATCTAAGAAAATTTATTTTTTATAAGATTAACATGCGTTATATTTTAATTTATCTTAATAAGTATAAGTCTTTTAATTATTTTTCTTATGAATAACATAATCAGTATTTAGCTGGGAACCTTTGTATCTATTAGGAATCTTAAAACATAACATAAATATCTTGATGAAGTTTTAAAATCAATAAGATTTTGAAAAAAAATATTGTCTTCTAAATTTTCAATATTAGTAGCAAGATGTTTAAAGTAATTGGTAGTTAGTTCATGTAGTGTATATTTGATTTTTTATTTTTATTTTTTTTTAGTTAGGTGTAAACATTGTGTATGAGAAAAACATTTACTTAGAGAATAAGCTCTGTCGTATTATAAATGTTCCTTGAACAAATTATTACTCACGATCCTTAAAAATATATATATATATTTAAACTTAGTTGATAATGACCATAATGTAATGAGAAAAACGAATTAATTTAAAATTAACAGGTAACATATTTTTATCTCTTATGAGTGGAGAATGATCTTTTAAAACATAAAAATTAATTAAACATGAACATGTTAAAGTTTTTCGGGGGCCTTTGCAGCATGTTGGACAAGTTAAAATGGGATAAACCTTGTTTTAATGCCCGAGATTATAATAATTACTTATTTTAGTGTTAATTTTATAAAACTTTTAATTACATATTAACTTTATAAAAATAGAATGAATATTTTTATAAAGCAATAAGATAAAAAAATTATAAATTTAAAAATAGAAAGATCAAGCCATTTGTAATTTGAAATATTAAAAGAAAAGTTTAACATGATCAAAATGAAAAGACTAAAAAGTGGCCGCTACAAATCTGCAAATTTAGACTTGATCCGTACAAGTCGGCAGCTTATTAAATATCTTCCAGAATAAGAATCTAATCATGAATTAACCATATTTAACAAGACCCGTTCATGAATTAAGTAATCAATTATGAGAAGAACTAGCTGATCAAAATATAATTTAACATCTGAAATGGCACATTGGTGGGCTACGTGTACACTGTAGAAAAGAGGTGTGTTAGCTAAAGCAACATAATTAAGTGCAAGGGTTCATTAATTGATTAATTAATTACATGGATTAATATAATATATGATGGAATGTTGGGGCAAGGAGTTGTTAATTTAATTAGGCTTTAGTTTAGCCTTTTGGGATTGGGGAATGTCCTTATCGGATTAACAATACAACACTGAAGGCTTTTCCTATTTTGTTGTATATTTTTTTATTTGAGATATGTTTCTGTCTATGTTATGTGGCCGTGGGTGGCCCCTTTTGTCTTTAGACATTAGATTCGAAAGTGAAAGTTAAACCCCACTAAACCCATGCTTTGCTTTAGACTAATTATTATGATTTTTAAAAATATTGATAAAATTGGCCTAAACTCCTAATGAAGCATGACTGCCACCATGAGCCAGGAGTCACTACCATCAACATTGATATAAGTAACTTTAAGGGAAACCTCACCTTGGTTTGGGGCATGCCCAAGTATCAAATTACTTCTTCTCATAAATAAAAGTCTTTAGAAAGTGAAAACTGAAAAGGGTTATCCTCTTAAAGTTTATATCCATGCCACTCCCATTGAAAGAAACAAGGGTTTCACTAATTCAATTTCTTTTATCAAAAACTAGACTTTGATTCTCATGAATTATTAATATAAACTTCTAGAATTTCTCTTTAAACTTTAGTTTACTAAGAAAGCTACTTCTTATCCCATAAAATAAAATTACCGCTGAATTGGGAGATTCCTTGTGGTGTGTGATAGTGGGTAAACACTTTGATCATTAATTTGGCCAAATGCTGTGCTACTTTTTCTGACACTCCTTATGCTTCAGACTGTGCCTGTATTTTGTTTCTCTCAATCTTCTTCCTCAATGAGCTCGTTTATTTGGTTTGCTTAATTTATATATATCTAGTTGGAAAGATAAGAATGCAACCTAGTTCTTCATGACTTCAATTCGCAATTCATTCTTAAAGGAAAAGAAAACCACCTTTTGTTAAATCAATTCATATTTAATACAAGTTCAAATTAGTTTTATTCAATTATTGATTCGGCTAAAAGAAAATAGTTCATAGTAACTTAATAGAAATATTTGCTCATGCATTGATAATTTAGTCTCTAAACACAAAGTCGTTATTATTATTTTACTTTTAAAAAAATATTTATTTTAATTTTTCTAAAAAATAGAAAATAAAATAATTTTTTTTTATAAAATTAGAGACTACAAAAATTAAAATATTCTATGCATACAACAATCTTGAAAACCAACACTAGGAAGGAACCAGCACAGTCAACCAAATTCAAATTTGCATGTTGAGAGTAAATATCAATTGCCAAGAAAGTTTGTGGATTATTTCTATTGCAATGATTAGTAAATTTGGAATATTTATGACTTGACTTGTTTCATGAAATAGTAAGAAAACATACCAAAAACAACTATATATCTAGTACACGTTTTTCTAGGCACTCAATTATTATGTTTATAAAAACTGATAAATTAGCTGACATTAAAAAGTTAGACAGAAATTTATAAGCTAATTTTTTTTTTAAAAAAGCAAATTTATTTAATCAAAAGTATTTAAAGAAATTAATCATTAAACTAGCTGATAAATATAAAATAATGTTTAGATTAAAAAATATAATTTTAGATATTCACAATAATTTTAAGCTTCTTGTTATTTTTTAAATATATATATATATATCAATTAAATTAAAAAACAATATAATATTTAAATGAAATTTTTATTAAAATAGATTATATAACATTGAATAAAGTAATAAAAAATTTATTAAATTTTGAAGATAAAAACAAGAAGATAGTAATAAGTTAATAAATTTAAATATATACTATTAATACTGATATGAAATAAATATTTTTTTTTGTCTGGTTTAATTCAGATTTCACTGAAGTTGCACTAAATGAGTTTATTATTAAAAAAAATTTATATGCATAAAGACTTGAATCTGAAATCTTATTTAAGGAATTAGACTAAAATTATTAAATTAATTTTTAAATAATTAAATAAATTATGCCTTAATTGAAAAAATTGTCAAACATGATCAGAAGAAAATATCTTTCCGTTTTCGTTATTCCTAGCAGTTACATCATCCTTTTAGATTTGTTAGTAGGTAACGAATGTTATAGTTACCGAACCTGTACCAACTGCGCTCAGGACGAGAGAGGGCCAACCAATAACATATTTTCTTACATATTTTTTAATTATTAATTAAAATTTATAAAAATATAATAGAAAAATATTAAATTAAGAACAAGAACAAACAAAGTGAAACACATATAATTTTTTTACTTTTTAATAAATTTTAACTAATAATTAAAAGTGTATTAAAAATATATTAAAAAATGTGTAGGTAAAAATAAAAAAATAAATGTGTATTTCAGACTAAATAAAATTAAGCTTAAATATATTTTTATCTCTAACATTATAAGATTTTTAAAAAATATTTATATATTTGACGTAATATTTTTCAGACCTGAGTATATTTCAGTCATAAAAAGCATATATATAAGTCAAGAAACTGAAAATATTAAGAAATACAAGTTATTGGTAAAGATTATTTTAAAATTATTTATAAGTATGTAGACTAATTTTTAAAAAAATTATAATAAAGACTGAATTAAAAATAAGTAAAAAATAATGTTAATTTAGCATTTCTTTTTTTTAATGAAAACAAGATTCATTCTTAGTTTGATAATTACACGCAATGCAGAAGCATGGCTGTAGCAATTAAGTGAATTGGAAAATATACTTTGTGTTTTGAGGTTTTGGGTATGAGTAAACCTTTTTTAATCCTCTCAAGTCTAAATATATATAGATGTTATTTTGTCCATATTTAATTTAAAGAGATTTTAATTTAGTTATTCAATAATACACTTAAAAGAGGTATTGAATTAATATCAATCTCGTATGGTTTAGGAATTAGATTATTACTAATTTCATAGATAATATTAATATTAAAATATTAAATTATTGTTGAAATTCTTTAAAGAATCACAGGAATAATGCTCATATCTTTGAATGATGGAAAGAGGGATTCACTCATCTAACACTATACAAATCCCATTATATA